ATATATGTGTATGCATGTATATATATATGTGTGTGTGTGCGTTGAAGGGCTGTGCTTTTGAATATTGTGCTTTATAAAAGAGCTACCACCAGTAAAGAATAAACTTGTGATGTCTGGTGTATGTGATGTTCTCAAGTATGTCATTTTTTTCCAAAGACACAAAATTGTCTTCCACTCTAACTGAATTCTTTAAATCTTTTTTTTAACATAATCACTGTTATCTAACTATTTCCTATTGTCATTACTGGCAATAAAACCATATTTTAATCACTCAGCCATGACGACAAGCTACAAAGAGTAGCTGTGCGTCTAGAAAGTTGTTGTTACTTGCCATCTTGTTAAAAATCGTGGAGGTAACTTTAATGTAACAGATAGCGAATCCTGACTGAATATGATTTGACACAACTTGTTCTATGTCTGACTAAACAGTCTCTGGATCTTGCATGGGAAGATGAAAAAGAGCGGTTTGGTTATCAATGGTGATATTTGTGAATGTGCAGAAATGCTGAATGGAAAAAATAATAATCATTCAAATAAATAAATTTTAAAGGCATGTGCCCACTTGGGCTACAGGCTCTTCATTTTTGGTGACGAAATGTGAAATGTTCTGGCCAGGGGCAGCAAGCAATAGACAGTGCTCGCCCCTGCATATGTAATGCCTCTGAAATGTCAAAGGAAACATACAACGATTTATAAAACTGCATTGTTGTTGAATACAGTTCTATATGTAATTATTTATATGAAACCATGCTTAAAACTTACACTGGCACTTCCTCCTGCGGTACGTATCCCTCCTTCACTCGCCGGGGTTTCCTCCATGTTCCATCTGGCCGCTGTGTAGCAGCAATGTACTTTCCTGTCAAAAAACACAAACAGTATATAAAAAGGAGATCTATAAGAATAGGCGGTATATTATGGTGGTATACACTGGACCAAGATATATATAAAAAACTATTTTTAATGAAGTAACACAAAGATCATGTCTGCCGACTATAGTTTAGTGAACACAAAAGCATTAGGACAAAAGTAGCGCCTCTGAAAAGAACGTAGGATAACATTTCTCGGCTTTATTCAAAGTATCCTTCTGATTAGAACATTTTACGATATCACAGTGGTCTAGAAAGTACAGCTTGAAATATTTGTCCAAATTTGATGGGACCCAACTGTTCAAACTGAGTACAGATGCCTTTGTGTCAGACTCAAGTCAAGTTTCAAGTCAGCTTTCAGGTTCAGGTTCTCACAGTCCACCCACCTGGAGGGACTCAATCATGTTACTGACAGAATTTACTGAGGCCCACAAGTCCCATAGTCATGAAAAAATTAATAATGGGGCAGAAATAAAACAGGAGACTTTTTTTTTAAAACATTGCAGCCAAAAGGACATTCAGTGTTGTGGCCAAAAGTTTTTTTTCATATGTTGAATACATTACATTTAACATTTATCAAATTTTACTTTACTTGCTATGTAACTGTTATTATTTTTGCAACGTAAATACTGTAATTTAACCATCGCCATCATTTGCAATATCAGGTTTTATTTGGCACTTTGAGTGATGATGTGCTGGTTTGGTCAGTTTTGGACAGTATTTTATTGGGCTCAGTTTTAGTTTTGGACTCCTTAGAAAGGCAGCTCATCTAGACTGCAGCAGGAACGGAAGTGTGGACACATCCATACTGATCCACCCACCTCTACTTGGCAAAGACAGAGAAAGTTGTGAGCCAAACATTAATCCTTCATACCTTCTCATTCTGAACACCTGCAACTTCTGTTTACTTGAGTTATACTTAATGATCAGAAACGTTTCTTATTAGTCATGTGCAGTAATTGTGATTTGAGGTTGAAGGATCAGACTGAGACTGTGATGCTGATTTGAAAAAGGAAAATCTAATAAAACTAAAACGAATAAACGTAAAACACAGTACAGCTGTATCCCACGATGTGCGATTTGTTTACAAACCTGAAAATCTGTATGTCTCTACATGCAGCTGCATGATACCAAGACTAACTTAAGCTAAATAACTATGCATACATGAACAAACAAGCGAAGAAAGAAGCTAGCTAGCTAGCTAATGTTAGCTAGCTAACTATTTAAGCGGGTTTTTTTTTAATCAACCCATTAGGGCTTGCTGCAGACCGTAAAGTTAGCCTGTTAGCTTAGCTAAACAAATCTCGAAAACGCTTGCTGCCATAGTTCACGTCCAACGTATTAATGTCCGTTAAAATGATAATAAAAGCTATATACTGTGTGCTATATTATCTATAGAGCAGTGCAGAGCAGCAGCGTTTGGAGGTTCATTCACACTGACAGGCTGCTAGACAGGCTGCTAAACACGCTGCTACAGCGATTCGCTTTGTGAAAGGAAACATGCGACACGAAGTCAAAGCGAATATACATTTAAGGCCTTTGCTACGCCAATAACTGAAATAAAATCAATACAAGTGTCACTTTATCGAAGACAGTAGAAATAACTGCTAGTAAAATCATTTAGCTCACCAGACTCATCCGTTACATAGGGAGTCGCCATCTTGCCAGATGCGGGGTTTCCGTTCACATGGCGGAAGACGGACCAGTGAGGAGTTTCAAAGAGCCGCTCATAGATTAAAAGAACTAGAAATCTCATATCCTCCCCATATTAAACAGTTTCCAAACACTATATGTGCACATGTTTTCCATGCACCGCGTTAAAGGAAAACAACTAAACAAACCATGTCTTTTTGCTGCTCACTGTTTCTGTAATTTTAAACCTACTAGTTTAGGGCACTGTTTCTCAGCCCTGGTCCTAGAGGCCCACGTTTTAGTGCTTTGCCTTCTTTAACAAAATAAAATAGGCTGTTAATGAACTCGGGTCAGTGAAAACACTAAAAAGTGCGTGAGCCTCCAGAACCAGGTCTGAAAAACAGGGAGTGTGGTTACATGCAATCCAATAACTGCAGAGAATCAGATTTTGTCAGTAATTTGTTCAGTGTGTTTACATGCACATGCACTTGGATATCAGATAATGTGGAAACTCTGGGTCTACATGAGTCAGGCAGTAATTGGATTTCTGCTTTGCAACCCGCCAGTGAACTCACAGAGGACATGACGTAAACATAACATAAAACTCAAATGTTGTGCTGTGGCTTTTTTTTTAAGCCATCAAGTCACTTTAGCAGAAGGTGTGAATATAAATCATCTAGAAGATGAAGAATATTTAAATCCTTAATTTTGTCAAGCATGTAGTTTGCTCCAGCATCACTCCAAAAGTGTTTGGTTGCCATCTCACTAGTGCTGTGTTAAACGTTGCATGCTATTACCGAGACAGCGGTCTCTTTTCGCACAAGTGCAGACTGGGAAAAACGAAAGAAATCAGAGTAAGGATACACATGCACTGAAAAACTCAATTACTGAGCTATCCACTCCTCCATATCAATAAATCTTAATCAGATGTTAGGCCTTAATCCAAGAATCTAAGAAATCAGAGTTCTCTGTTTATGTGAAAAATAAGAAATCCGATAATAAATGCATTATTAAGTGGATGTAAATGCTTTCACTGGTTTAGGGCACCTTACATGATACTGATACTGAGGTTGGGTGATGATACCACAGATTTTCTTTTTAATCTGATTTGGAGTAATATCAGCCCGGTGTACTGATACCAATACAACAGGGATAATAAAAGTATATTGTCCTGGGAATTCCACTGATTTTCAACATTTCTGTTTGATTCAGTCATTGAAAAAGTCATTCAGAGCTGTTTGACGTGAAATGGAGCACTGTAGACAGATTTACTGAGTCAGATTTCTTTACAGTGGTGATGATAGGAACCAAGGGTTGTGAGGTCTACAATGCAAATGTATCCATTTTATTTACTATCCAAAACGGCTAGTTAACCTGCATGTGTGGAGTTGTTATATGTAATGTTAATAACAAAGAAATATTGCTAAATGTGAAGAAATATGTTTTCACCCTCCATGTACCTTTACGCTGTGATTTAAAAAAGATACATTTTAGGCCAAAAGCTCATCTCAGTACTATTATAAAAGACTTTTAGAGACATGAAATGCTCTGGATTTTTGGTTCCTATCACCACCGCTGTGAACAATTCCTACTTTGTAAGTTTCTCTAAACTGGAGCATTTGACATCAAACCAATCTAATCGATTTTGTTTACATGTTAATGATTTAATTATACAGATTTTTTTTTTATTTTAATTTTCCATTTAATTGAAAGTGTATACAATCTCAAAATTCTACTTAGTTAAAAGTGGAAGTATAGAGCCAAAAATATACTAAAAGTACAAAAAAAGTACAAAAATATCAAAAGTATAAAAGTTTTCTTTATCTGTTATTCTGTTTCCTTGCTAAAAGACAGACAGCATAGCTGTGTGCTGTGGGCAGTTTCATTTCACATTCGTATGAATTTGGTTGAAAACGGCTGATAGGCCAGAGATAAATCTCTTTTGACAGGTAATTTGAATGTCTAAATGGAAAATGTTTTTTTTTTTTTGTTCTTGAAATGTGAGTAAAAGTACTCAAGCAAAGCACAAATCTTCCAAAATAAGACATAAATATAGCAATTAAGTATTTTCCTCCCCTGCAATACAGGTATGCACACTTTTAAAAAATAAAAGTGCATGTAAAATGTATAATTCTTTGGGACTTCTACAGCGAAGACTAGCTACACTGTACATTATATGTACAATATAACGAAGTATAAATTGTAATACAGTGTAGGCATAGTAATAAGATGAATTTCATTCCAGCATAGAACAAAGTTTGTTAGCTATTGGCTGACCGTGAATTATGAATAAGTGTAAAAGACATTCACTTTAGAAACATAACCAGCACTGCAGCTATCAGAACAGACCGGATTCAAGCTTTGTTTTATATTTGGTTGCTAGAAGGCCACTGCGACTGCTTTGTCAGGCCGAGATAAGAGGGCGATACATGAGGGCGATACATAAGGGGATGCCTAAAGTCCACTGCCTACAGGATCTTCGGAAGTGACGCGGCAAGCCGGCTGTAAGGGAGGTGTGAGGGAAAGCAAAGCTCGTACAGTCTACGATCGGACAGACGGCAGAGATTATTCTACAGGTTTCTTCAGAGACTTCCAGGTAGGCTGGCATTTTATTAGGACTGAAAAAATCAAACTAAACGTCCCTGATATTGGAATTTCAATCAAACAGGAATTAAAAGCAGCTACCTTGGATAAATGAATTGAGGATGATTCCTGCGCATAGCATAGTTCAGCAGAACAACCTGCAGCCTATGGGACAAAAAGATACCTTGCTAGCTATTTGATTCGCTCATTGTATGAAACGACTACAAAATCGCGAAAGCTATTCAGCTGTGTGTGTTCCAGCTCTACTTGCTTGCACTGTAGTTCACATCCTTGGAAATTCACGCAAAAGAGGTATCCATTTACCTCACTAGCAAGCTAGCGTTAACTTGTTAGCTAAATGAATAGCTAGCTAGCTGGCAGTTAGCAAATGCACACGACTAGCCAGCAGCAAACGCGTTGCTAAGATACTAACGGTACCGTGTAACTAGCCACCGAGCTGCGAGGGTGAGCTAGCTAGCCACGTAGCCAATTGTCTGTGGCTGTTAAGCTAACTGCTGGCTAAATAGCCATAGATAATGCAACGCAGTTTTGCTGTAATATGCGATATAAACAATTAGTACAGTCGGCCTATGAAATCCAGAATCTAGTTGGTGAGCGAACGTTAGCCACATTAACGGCACCTACGTATTGGTTATTGGTTATCTAACTGGGCAGCTAGCTAGCTAAGCTAGCGAGCCAACTCATACCACACAGGCTCAGAGGCTTAGTTACCACTTAGGTTAGCTAGTTTGCAAACTATCTACTTTTAATAAAAGGCTATAGAAATGTCCAACTGATTGTACTGATATGTAGCTACTGTAGCAAGATCATATAACCAAGGTAACGTTATTTTAGTCAGTTGCCTCCCGTTACGAGTTATGTCTCGTAGCTGTGCTATAAGCTGGACTTGATTTATTCTTGTTTCCATCGATAACATTGGCTGCTTTAGTCTGCGTGTATGTACAGCTCATTTATCTTAGAAAGTAAGCTTTTTCTTATGTGTTTATTATCAATGATGTGATTTCGGGTGCCATGTTCTGAATATTTGCGAGGAAGGGGTTGTCTGATAGCAGGCTGGCTAGCTTGGTTTGTAAGCGCCCCTGAGAACAGAGGAATCGTCTTGCAGTGTTTTGGCAGATATTAGTCTATCAGCCATTGCTCAGACAATCACGGTTTCTTCTGAAATCACTCTCAAATTACACGAAAACATCTTTTTATCTTTACTATGTTTAAACACTGGCTTGAACTAAATATCCACACTTACAGAAACGTGTGAAATGCATAACTTGTAAAATTAAATGACTAGCGTTTGTCGCTGTTGAGTTGGCTGTCTGAGTGCTGCAGCAGGCTTATCATGAGCAGCAGAGTTCATTCTAGAAATCTGTTCTAAAGCTGTCTTTTCCCGTAATGAGGAGTCATCAAAGTAGTATATTTTTGCAAGCTATTGTCTCTCTGCACAGTTTCTTTAGAAAGTGGCTCATAAAGCAGAAGCCATGGGAACTTTGGTCTGCCTTTAATAAAGAAGCCTGTGTGTTATGACATATTGGATATGATTGCAAGCTGAACACAGTGATCACATTCCTGCGTCGGGTATACAGTAACTAGTCTAAAGCTAACCTGAAACTAAATTAGCCTGAGCATATTGCAGTTTCAGTTGCAGAAGCTTTCAAAGCTGTTTTCTGTGCCAGGTTTAGTTTACACTCTTGAAAAAGAAGGTTCTTCAAGGGTTCTTTAGTGAAGGCAGTGGTTCTGTATAGAACCATGAACACCCAAAGAACCATTTGCATGCTTAATGTTCTTTAGGTTGTTGAAGAATGTGTTGTACCCTTTTTAAAAAGGGTTCTGTATTGAACCAAAAAGGGTTCTTCTGTTAGTGTAAAGCTAGTAACAGGTTTTGGTGCTATGTAGAACCCTTTTCAAAAATGTTTTGTATAGAGGCATATACAACACATTCTCCATTAATCTGTAGAACCATTTCCCCATGTGAAGAACCCTTTAAGCATGCACATGGTTCTTTGAGTGTTCATAGTTCTATATAGAACCATTGTCTTTAATAAAGAACCCTTGAAGAAGCATTTTTTTAAGAGTGTACCTTAACTTCATGTTTATGATAGTTGAAACTACAGTGTCAGGAAAATCTTAAATAAAGCTGCTTAAACATCCCATTGACAAAGCTTTCTTGAATTATGGTTGATTTAGTTTCCCAAGTCTTTGCACCGTCCTGTTGTCACATTGTGTGGATATGCTTGTTTTCCAGGCCTTATAGGGTGTCTGGTTACTGGCATATTTAGTTGTGGAACTGAATACAGTGCTTCCTATTGGTTATGATTGCACTCGTTTCTTGTTGTTCTACAAAAATCCCACTCAGACCTTCACACTCAGTCCCAGCAGTTATCTAAGCAGTTAGACATCCAACAAAAAGACATTTCCTAACAGCGATGGATATTGTGATGAATTTGAGCCTGTCTTTTCTAATTTATGTCAGATCCTTTTAATGGATCCCATAAGACTTTTTAACGCCTCTGTTTAGACTTGCTAATTTTCAAATGGCGCATGCTTGACATGTTTACCAGTAGGTTTTAGTAAACGCTCTGTCCATCAAGCCCGCACTGGGGTTGTGTTGTGACCAAATTGTTAGAATCATTTACCAATGATTTTACATTCTGTCCTCTTTGTCTGTGATTTATTAGTGGGGGGAAAAAAGAATGATTGATTGTTATGAGGGATGATTCCACAGCTGTGTGGATCCAGACAGTACTATATTGCCTTGAATTAAAAGCTACAAAACCATCGTATAGGACTGAATTAGATTGTTAAATAAGGGATTCTGCCTTGTTGAACTTTTGGACTTTTAGTCTAGACAGGTAGATCTAGATAGGTGCATCTGTCAATCAACCAGTCAGTCATTAGACTAAATCTGTGTCCAGAAAATGGCCCCTGTGCCTTAGATTAAAGAAACAACAATCAATTTCAAAGCCATATTATTAGACATGGACCGATTAGCGCATTGCAAAGCTGATACTGGTTGTCTTTTAGCACAGTCGGGTGATGCCGATTCCAGTCCTTAACTTCCCTGGCAAAAACCCATTGACCAACAAGGTTGATATTGGTTTAACAACAATAATATTGCAACAAAGTTGCATGTAAAAGAAACAGTCTTACAGCTTCTGGTAGTTATGTTTCCAGTTTATTTGTTTTCTTTGAATATTTCAGTGTGCATATTAGACGAGGAATACACTTGTCATCTACACATTTTGCCAGCCCACTGTCGATGTCGTGTTATCTGTCTTCACTAGTTGTGCTACCTTCTGATACTTGCTACAGTCGGTTGGATGATGTGCTCTAAAATGTCGCACGTGGTTATTGATGTTTAAAATGGTATTTACTTTGCTTCCCTTATGAGTCAAGTTAGTTTTTCAAACTTTGCAAACAATATTGGATTTGAGCCAGATGTTGTTTAAAAAAAAAAAGCACACGTAGTAAAATTTGGCTCACACATTTTGCATTATTGATCGGTCCTCACATAACTATGGTCCTGCTAGTGTGTATTTGCTTGTTTTCCAGACCTTTCAGCGCATGCAGTAAAATTTGGCTCACATGTTTTGCATCATTGATCAGTTCTCAATATTGGTCAGATTAAAGGAATGTCGGCAGATTACATATGTAGCCTAACATTGACTGATTTTTATCTATAGCTGGTCGATCTTTCCATCCCCACGTATCATGGTATATCGTAATTAAATCGCCACAGTATGCTTTTCAGTGTGTGGTGAGGCTATTGTAAGTACTTAAAGAACACATTAAAAAGAAATAACAGGGACATGTTTGTTTGTTTATTTGAACTCTGGCTGTTGTGTGTGTGTGGTTTTTTTTTTTCTTTTTCTTTTTTCCATTTGGGAGCTACTAAGTGTTGACAGCCAGGAAGCAAGACAGCTTGTCAGTCTATTTGGCCACTTTAGGCTTGTACTTTTAATAGATACATACAAGGATCAATAGCTATTTTAATCGTCAGTTGTTAATTCATAATTATTTATGTGCCATTTAATCATCAGCTAAAATTTCCGGATCGTGACTGACCTAGTTCTGTTTTTGCTCTGAAATGAAAACTGTGTGCAGTCCACATGCACATTCCATTTCTTCTTCACCAGGTGCTCACAGCTCTGCCACATCGCTCAGGCTAGACTGGCTTCTGTGTGTTCCTTCATGTGGCCTCTAGCAATGCGTTCTTTAAATCTACCACTCTTGCTTCAGGTTGCAGTGGCCCATTTTCAAACGGAAAGGAAGAATTTGCTCCCCCTCCCTTTTAGCCCCCTTCTCGCTTTTTTCATCTGGTTCATATTACCCACTATCTCAGCCTGTATCAGCTTTATCCGTGCAACCTACATATCAGGAGTTCAGCTCCCAGAGGGCTCTGATACAACGTGAATAGTAACATTTTATCTGGGTAGGTTTCTGCACCTGTAACTTGTCGTTAATTATGTTTGTTACGTAAAAGAAAGGTTTGATTAGGTGCGCTCCTCCTCTTTGTTAAACAGCCGGTTCATTTTCCTGTTGGTTTAAATATAGGCTCTGTGTCTGGCGTCACCTGTTCAAATGAGTGCAGGTGTGTGACGTGTGTACAGGTGTGGTGCTGTCTCTGTGCTGGTGGCATGCGGCACCACACACACTCTCGCACGCAGAGTTCAGACTCACGAAGGGCGTGTGTTGGCATAGTTTAAATTTCTCTTTCCAAGGCCGCTGCTGGAGAAATAGAAAGTTAAACTCAGTCTCGCTTGGCTCATAAAAGCTGTTGGTTCCTTGTCTCTGGTTGGGACTGGTTTGCTCTGGGAGTAGGTGACGTGGGAAAACACACACGCACACATACTCAGGAGAGTCACTGGCTTTAAGCATTGAGCAATTAAGCTAAAGGGAGAGTGAGTGCACTGTGCATTGTCAGTTTCAACTTGTTTGCGAGCTGATATGTAAAGCTCTGAATGGAAATAGCAGTATTGCAGTGATCCTCTTCGCTTGATGTAGTAAGGTATAGTAAGGCTCTGCTGACCTTGTCATTTATTGGTGCTGTGGAAATCAGATAACTTTGGTGACGGGTGATAATTATTTTTCCTTTTTCACTGTCTCTGTTTCAAATTCTGTTAATCTTTTTTCCCTTTTAAACTCTATTCGGTGAATTAGCATTTGCTTGCATGTCCAACCCAATGAAATTTGCCTAACGAAACCAATGGAGCTCATGAGTCAAAGAGTCTGAGCTGTGACTGTGAGCCAAGCTCAGAGTCAAAGCTCTCGCCAAGGACAATATTGAATGCAGATTGTGTGTATGTATGCCAGACAGACAGTAATTCAACCAAATCTGATTTTCATTATGGGCGTTCTGAGCAAAGGAAATGGGCTTTAAAGGGAAAGTGGATCTGCTTTACTGTGTCCTGCATGCACACACAGGACCACGGCTATGGGATATCTTTCTGACCCATACGACTCACATGGCTTTGCATCTGTTATCCAGATTGATGTGATTTTGATTGAGTTATAGCATTGAGGCTTAACAGGTTGCTTTTGTGTGCGACAGAAAGAAAATCCTCTGGAATAGTGAAAGAGGAGGAGGTGGACATTTGTTTTCCAGATTCTTCTCCTAGCGTTTTTGGAAGTTAAGGAGGGGGGGGGGAGGGAGTGAGTGTGAGCGTCAAGGAAATTACCATGTCCAAGTGTGGATGTGGAAGTTTGGCTTTGCTGTCCTTAGGTGACCCTATGCTGTCAGAGGCCTCGTTCTGACACGCAAGCATTTTGCAGAAAGGGAGAGGGAGAGGGAGAGAGAGGGAGAGAAAGGGAAGTCTGGGAAGAGCTTGGAGAGGGATTACAGAAGGCACCAGTAAAAGAGGGGGGACGTTCAGTAAATTGAGAAAGCAGCACTGCAGACGTTTTTCTATTTTGTGTGCTGAGTAATTTGCATTCAATAAGCTGACCTTTTTTTCTCTTTTGCAGAATAACTGACAAGTCTAAAGACTAAAGTCCACTTAAGGTCTTGTAGAAGTGGATTATGGCGAAGAGGAATAGCCACAAGGGTAAGTGATGTAACCAGTGTCATTTTGTGCTGTACATTTCTGCTTTGATTCTCCGATGACAGGGTTTTTTTTTGTTTTTTGTGTACCTTGTCCACAAAGTCTACATCCCTTTCCCAGCTGGTGCAGTCATTTCTTTTAAAGTGTCATATTTCTTCCAACCTTTCCTTTTCCTGTAGTACAGTGTGCAAGTACTGTGTCAGCCACTGGGCTAATAATAATCCTGGGGGGAAGTAAATGTGTGACTGCAATAAAACGGAGGCATGTTACTCTCTCCTCTTGCCCGTGGTGTACAAAGTTATTCACATTTCTCTCCGCACAAAAAGCTTTGCATTCCTTGTGTGACGTGTTGACTTTTTGACGTGTCAGTGCAACGCATTACCCTCATAAATAGGTACTCCTTTAGTCATCTCCACAAAAATAGCACCAGAACTTTTGTCTCTGACCCCAAGCTGATTCAATTCAGTCACGATTCTTCAAGGAACAATTCAGTTCTTCAAAATTATTTTTTTAAAGCACTGAATATACAGCTGTGACTTGAGGAATTATGTATACAGTAGTAGATTATAGGCATTTAAAACTATACAGTCGATTATAGTTGATTCCACCATTCATGTTGACTTATAACATATTACCACCATATAATCGCTAAACAAAACCTTGTATCTCCAAAATAGTAGCTAGCCGTTCAGGGAAGAAAATATTGACTTAACTTGTAATATAGATAAATCGTTTACCCAAGTAATTTTGTTGAATTTCTATCTAAATCTATTGGATCATTCATCATTAAATATTCACAAAATATAAAGGGCAGCTGGCATTTTCAAATGGTTTATGTTTGTGTGTGTGTGAAGGGAGAAGTGGGGTTCATAGGTGTGTTTTTACTACAGAAATGGTCCAGAATCATTTGGAAATAAATCTTTTTTTAACGTTTACTTTCAAGGAAGTTTTTTCCTTCTCTGGTAAAATTACTATTTTGGAGATTTGAAGTTCTGTTCTGACAGCAACTCACAGATGTGTATATATTTTCATTGTCTTCACAGAAACAAAGGGGTTCACTTCTGGCATTACTTTTATGGGTGGCTGTATTCCACTGATTATTCTGTTGTCTTTTGGCACCAAACTAGACTGAGCTGAATAAATTCTCTTAGGTTAGGATCAACCAACGTACAAGTTCAACCTGTTATCCGGATCATTAGCCCTTCCTTGGCTTACCTAAGCATTACTCCTCTGACTAAACAGTGCTTAAAGCGTAGTATTTAAAGTTAGCTTGAGTTCTGGTATCAGCTAAGCTTACAGTTCAAAGATAATCCAGGCTGAAAAAAATGCTGTTCAGTGTGAGAATGAACTCTGATTGGCTAGTGGAAGCTAAAGAGACTTAGCTTTATGGCATTGACTAAGCCTGTTAATGTTATGCATGTTGTTTAAGGAGTGATTTGCTCTGATACAGGTTAAGCATAGTGCTTAAAGGAAGCCCATGGGCCACAGTAGCAGGGTGGATAACCTGGAAATGCAGGAAGTAGCGACAGTAAAAGGTGATGCACGTAATGAAATGCTCATATGCACCGCAATCTGTACGCCCTCAGGGCGGCAATCCCTCTTTTATTGCGTTCTCCAGGATCTAAAGCCTTAGCTTTAGCTTCACATATTCAGCTGTGTACTTTCCTTTTCCTAGACACAGATCTCACCTCAGGCCAGGCCTGGCCAAGCCTCACCTCAGGCCAGGCCTGGCCAAGCCTCACCTCAGGCCAGGCTAACTGTAAAAGCAGGTGTATTTCGTCTCCTTAAGCAGGGTTGGGAAGGTTACATGCAAAAAGTATTTTGTTACAGATTACTGATTGAGTAGCCTTGATTTTTGGTCAACCGATAGTATCCCACAGGTCCTCTGGGCCAAACAAAATCTTCCCTTTCTGTGGAAGTGGAGCATTTATTCCACTGTCCACTGGCTTTCCTTAAGGCGATATGTTTTACCAAAATGTGAAGTCAGTGTATACTGTCATTTACGTGAGTGGGGGAATCAAAATGTGCTGTACAGTTTGATGTGACGGGCTGACCGAAGACTAAACTAAAAGCTTATAAAAGACCTGAGTTTCACTGTATTCCTGTGTAAGCTAACTGATAATGTTTAATTACTTTAGTGTTTAACAAGAGATACCACTGACATTCAATGTTTACAATGTAAAAGCTGTCAAAACAAATCATACTGATTGCCATGCTATGCGTACCGCTTATTCACCTAGTGTTAGCAAAGTAAGATAACACTGCCAAGTTTTTTTGCTTTTTTTTAATAGAAAATGTCACATTCTGTCCCTCTTAACGTGCTGCTTTTATGGATGTGTATTTAATACAGAAAAACATCTCTAAGTATTGCATTTATCTATTTAGCAGGCACTCTTCTCCAGAGCAATTTACACTGGTAGGCAAGTGTAGCATTAGTATACATGCCCAAGCGCTTTTACAGATATAGCAGTGGTGCTTCTGGATGGGGAAACGAACCCTAGCCTCCTGTGAGGCATGATGTCATTGTGCTTTCAGTGAATACAGGTGGACCAAAAAACAGTTATTTTTGTTCATTGAATCTACTGCTGTTTTTCAGAACTGACATTTGCTCTCTTTTAGTTCTCCAGCCTTGCTGTCCCATTGAGACCCACCTCACTGAAATGGACCAATTGCCAGCGTTACCTTGTTGAGTCATAAACTATTTTCACTATTTTTTCATAGTGGGTAATTTTAATGCTGATTTAATCTGGCCCTTGGTTTTCTGTTTGCATTTGTCATTTTCAACCACCCATGTAGATAGTCTGAGCATGCTAATTGGAAAAAGTGGGCCGGCGTTATGTCTGGTTACAAAACAAACAAAACAAAGAGAAAAGCTTGCAGGTTTCTGGAAAATTCTATAGACATTCCAGTGATGCGTGCTTTTCTGAACGCTAGGGTAAGATCTAGACATGGCACGGTACCACTTTCTTTTCCAATACCGGTAATACAACCTTCTGGCCTGTATTGATTCAATTTTTTTTTCTTTAAAACTACTAAGCTCTAAAATGAGCTATTTTTAATTGAAGTACTTGGTGGGCCTTTAAATAAAAACGTTTGAGAACTTGTGGGCTGTCACCACTTAACCATTCTACTACCCAACAGGAAGAAATACACAGCTAACATTATGACATCACACAATGTGAAAGTCCTATTTCAGGCTAGATTTGCATTTTTCCGTCCGATATCTGGACCACCACTTTTTGCCAATATCTGCCCAGTAGCAAAATCCATCGATACTAATATGCCATCTCTAGTAAGATCATAAATGATGGCTGCAAAATGTATTACACTTAATTTAGCTATTGTGGCTCAATTGACTGACCACCTCAGACGTTGCTGGTTTTGTTTGGCAAATGTTTGCATTTACATGCAGCCTGAAGGAGAAATTTGAGTGGTATCCATGACAAAGTCTTACAGTAATATATGTGTGTGTGTGTGTGTGTGGTGGTCAGAGGACTACAGACTGTACCCTCCCATATCTAATTCAGTTGCATGTTTCCTTTAAGCTGCAATGTGTTTGCAAATGGTCTTTGACCCACTGAGTGCTGACGTGCCTCATCATAACAGCCTGGCCAGTTTATAACTGTAACTGGGTGTGCATGTTCCCATATCATCTTATCACTCACTTTTTTAATACACTCAGCATCCTAAAAGAGAGATGTCTGTTCACCTTGACAATGTTTCAGGTTTGTCTTAGCAGACTGTAATTCAATTTATGTAGTTGTACAACTCCTTTTCGGGGCACTTATGGCCAAATTCTTTGCTAGGGCAGCATAATTGGTTTTGAGTACTGAAACATGTTTGTTTTGCCCTGATACGTTAAAGGGTTCTGCTGAAAGACGTCTCCTGTGAAAAGCCGATGTCTCTTTATGGCAGTTAAAATAGCACCAAAAACACTCTGGAAGCAAATACAGACATACATTTGAGCTGTGTCATTCCTAGACTTTGAAATGCAGGAGCAATACATATAAAACAAGCTTTTTATGCAAGTAATCTAGTCTGCACCAGAGGTTTTTGTGACCTTGTATCATTTCAGTTCAGTTCTGTTGGTTTCACATTGCAAAGGCAAAGAAAAATGTATGTATGTATGTATGTATGTATGTATGTATGTATGTATACTTAATGCTTAAGACTGTTTTAAAAGAACAGTAGAAAAATCATTAAAAAGTAAATAAATAGTAAATGATCCATTTGGACAAAAATATTGGGACACAATCACTGAATTCGGGTGTTTCATTCTGTCCCATTGCCACTGGTGTATAAAATGAAACACCTGGCCATGCAGTCTGCCTTTACAAACATTTGTGAAAGGATGGGTCGTTTTTAAGAGCTCTCTGAATTTGAGCATGGCACTGTAATATATGCCACCCTTGCAACAAGGCAGTTCGCAAAAAAAAAATTCTTCCCTCCTAGATATTCCACGATCGACTGTGAGTGGTATTATTGGAAAGTGGAAGTGTTTAGGAGCCACAACAACTCAGCCACGAAGTGTTAGACCATGTATAGTTACAGTTAATTGTCACCAAGTGCTGAGGCGTAAAAGTCACCAACACTCTGCTGATTCAGTAACTGCAAAGTTCCAGACCGCCTCTGGCTTTAAAATCAAGACAAAAGCCTTATGTCACCAAGCGCAATGCCAAACGTCAGATGGAGTGGTGTAAAGCACGCCACCACAGGACTTTGGAGCACTGGAAACATATTCTGTGGAGTGACTAATCGCCCTTCTCTGTCTGGCAGTCTGATGGACGAGTCTGGGTTTGGTGAATGCCAGGAGAACATTACCTGCCTGACTGCATTGTGCCAGCTGTAAAGTTTGGTGGAGGAGGGATAATGCTATGGGGCTGTTTTTCAGGGGTTGGATTTTCAGTGAAGGGAAATTTTAATTGTGGGAACAGTTTGGGCAAGGCCCTTTTCTGTTCCAGCATGACTGTGTCCCAGTGCACAAAGCAAGGTCCATAAAGGCATGGTTGGGTGAGTTTGCCTGCACAGAGCCCTGACCTCAACCCCATCAAAAACCTTTGGGCTAAACTAGAACAGAGATTGTGAGCCAGAACATCAGTTTCTGACCTCACAAATGCTCTTCTGGATAAATTGGCAGACACACTCCAAAATCTTGTAGAAAGCTTCCCAGAAGAGTGGAAGCTGTTATAGCTGCGAAGAGGAAACAAACTCCATATTAAGGCCTATGGATTTAGAATGGAATGTCATAAAAGCTCCTGTAGGTGTCCCAATACTTTTGTCCATATAGTGTACTTGGATACAGTGATACATTTGGAAAATATTGTATTTTTATTTTTAAATCAGTATTGTTCAGCATTAGCCTATCACAGTACAAAATCCAGATCTATCTCTCATATATATTCTTGATAATAAAGTGTATAATCTTCTAAATAGGACACATGAAGGTCGCTGTTGCCTGGCCTAGTCTATCAGAAATACAACCCATGGTCCATGTGACAAAATCAAATGCTTTGCTGTTATTTTATTGCTCATCTGTCTTTAACAACAGCTTGTGCTTCAAGGAGGAGATGAGTGTCTGTAAAAAGCCCAGATGTAAAATGTGCAGAACAGCGCTGATATGCTGTTAAAAGAAGAGAAAAACATGCTTTGATGTTGACTTCCCTTATTTGGGTCAGGCTAGGGCTGTCATGATCATGACATTTTAGCTGATGATTGTCATATAAATAATGTAATTGGCATTTAATTGTCTTTTCTTGTTCATGGTTTACAGTCATTAAGACACAAGCCTAAAGTGGCTAAATTAACTGATTTAGCTGACCTTACTTGCTAGCTAAATAAACACAGTAGCTAACACCGGTTGTACTGTCGAATCAACACTCACAAATGTCTACAGTTATACAGAATTATGTGTAGAGTTAAGCAAAGCTACATGTTCTTCACAAGAGTGAAAATATAAGGCCTTATTCTGCCAGCATACATGCTAAAAGGCGATTGTGTTATAATTGTGACCGGCCTAGTGTGGATCAGTAAAAATGTGTCCCCACCAGCAGCAAACTGAATCAAGGTTGACTTGTAAGTGGACCGAGATCAACAGTTTTTGGCAGAGCACTGTTCTGTTGTTTGGTGCGTACTCCAGTATGGGTGGAGTGTTCTCATCTGTCACAGTGGACTGAACTAAAGAAAAATAATTCACACCAAACAAGGAAGGTGTGAAAGCACCCTTAAAGAGCTTCATTCCATGCTTCTGTAATATTTCTTCAAACATTTTTATTTGGTCTTTCATTCTTTCGGCATTCCAGTAGTTTAATTAGTTAGATATGTGCAGTAAATACAGCTTTCGTTCAGATATCAATCCGTAACCAAAATGGAAATCTGTTGGTAGTAACACCTTCATTGTTTATATAAAACAGGGGAACATAGTCTACCTCTTCATTTAAGATGAGTTTAACATAGACTTTCAACTAATGTCAAATCTCTAGTGGAAAAAAGCGAGCCATGCATGTGGATATTGTGCTGTCTACTATTGGAGTTGTGGCCTGCACAACAAATCGCAAGTGACATAAGATATGAATACAGCAATGATACATCAGACATTCTTGAAATCTTAGCTGAAATATTGCGAGCAGAGCTTAATTTAAGACTAGTCCTTTTACATCTTGTTGTAGGAAATATTTTCAAGGATCTACCTATTATTGGTGCATTTTATAGGCATTGCGAATACCAAAGTCTGTCAGTATTAAGTTAAATTGACTTGTTTTAGTAATATATATCACACACATTTGCCTGTCTATGCATCAACTTGTTTAGTTACAGACGACTCTCAGCAAAATTTTGTAGCTGTCTAAACAACACACATTTGGCAAGACAGAACAATGAGTTTGCATGCATGCTGTTTTGGTGACCCTGTTGTTAGAACAACCTTTCTGCCATATGATGTGTGAGCCAGACCAAATAGCAGCCAGCGCAGAAAAGGTTGTAAGTGTCTGCAGTTATTCATGACTCCTTAAGTGCAGGCTGAATATCCATCTAGTAGCTATGTCTTCATTTCTGTAGCCTACAGTTGTTTGGATTTCAAGAAGAAGCATGTTTTAAATTCTGTATTTGAAAACTTTGTCTTCTTTTAAACTGTCAATTCCTAATCCTCCTGTTTGTTGTCATGCATTCTTAAAGAAATATTTCTATCTTTGAATGAAAGTTTGGCGCTCTTAGCTAAAATGGATCACAAAATCAGAAATATTTAGTACCTTTACAGTGAATGCTGGCATAGTAAAGTATCATGGCTGTTCTGGTGGGGGGTAAAATGCTCTGTATAGACCTGCAGAATATTTCTCACAGGCTTGGTATAAATGAAACTGTGTTACTATAAGATCACTTCATTAATAGTAACAGTCTCATTTTGATGTTTTCATTTACTTTCAAGTCATATAATGGTGTGGTATCCAGGTTTTACCCTTATGGACTTATAATGTCATGTATTTACAATTTTTCCACCCTTGTGAGGACTTTAATACAGCCCTAGCCTTGTGTGTGTGAATGAGAGAGACTGGGAGAGAGAGCAAGAGGGAGGTAGAAAGGGAGAGACAGGGGAGGAGGGAGAGAGGGGGCGGCAGGAGGTTTAGGCTGGGATGGAACTGAGTCTGCATTTTGTTGCAGAAGTTGTCTCAGAATGACTGTGGGTAAGTATAGACTGTGCATGGCTATCGTAACTTTTTTTTTTTTCTAAGTTCCTGTCTTTTTTTTCGAAAGAGTGATGAATTGTAGTGCTATATAAACTGGCCACATTTTGTATCACAGATGGAACCTGGTGTGGAATATCTGCTGTTAACAGGGCATTATTTACTGTTTTTACATTCCTTTTTGCAAGTATAGAAAGTTTGCGTAAAAGATTAAAGTTAATTATTTGTGCTAAGTAACTAACTGTAATCTTTAGATTGGTTTCTGATGGGAATTTATGTTCCTTCCCTCCCTTCTCTCCCTCTCTCCCTCTCTCCCTCTCTCTCCTTCTCTGGGCTGTTCTCTTGACCTACATATTTTGAGGGAAGTCCCCCCGCCCCCTCTACCAAGTCTTGCAGGACTGTCAGGCTCCAAACGGTACAGTTCCAACAGAACTGTTAACTTGATTTTTGTTTTTCCTCTTTTATTTCTTTTTTTTTTTTAGACACATCGGGAGTGGTGTTCGACACTCACTCTAAAATGGTGATGTCCCAAGGAGGAACGTTTGAGAGGATGAAAGAAAAGGTAATCATTTTTTTTTCTTCTCATCTTTTCTCTTTCCTCCCTTCCCCTTTCTCCTTTTTCTTTCTCTCTTCTCTGCTCTGCTGTTGGAATGTGGTAGAGCCAAAGAGATCAGTGGCGTTCTCGAAGCCCATAATCAGCACAAGTCATTGACTTTTTGAGTGTTCTTCGCTCTCTGTAATTGAGCTGCTGTGTTGTAGTCTCTCTGCTGTTTTTCTCCATGCGCCACTCTTTTTCAGGTCAGTGACTCCATTCTCTTGGCACTGGCCTTCTGAGCATGATAGCGCATAGAAAAACAACCTAAAGGAATGCAGGGTCAGCCCAAACATCAAACAAAGGCTGATTGGCATTATCAAATATTTACTTTGGATGCAAGTTTGGTTATTCAATAAACACCACCTTTTGTTACCGAAAGAGATGCATGCCATTGTGCTGAACATGTTTTATAGGTTTTTTTATAGTATTTTGTTGGCTTATATTCTATTTTAGAGGCTTGACTGAAACGTCAAGCCTCTAAAATAGAATACAAGGCATTGCTAAGGTCTGCTGTGTCATGATTATAGGGGTCAAATGGCTCAGAAATGGGATTGAGATTTTCTTGTAAATGAAACTGTTGCTATTTAAAAGCATCAAAATATTATTCCGTTTAATGAATATAAATGTATTGCTGTTTAGACGCTTGTTACAGTAGGACCTGAAGAAGGCTTGAAATAGCTGCTAAAACATATTTCTAATTTTATTAGTTTTGAGTAACCCTGACAACCTTCATACACCCACATGCACCCACACCCACACCCAACTTTTTGATGTGTCATTTCCTCCCAGCTGTGGTTCTGCATCTGGACTGCTGCCCTCCACTAACCCTACATGTACACATGCACACTGTCCTCTTTGTCTCTGTTTCTTACACGTCTCTGTCCTGCTCTCTAGATTAACGCAGTGAGAGCTGTGGTTCCCAACAAGAGCAATAATGAGATCGCTCTGGTTCTGCAACACTTTGAGAACTCAGTGGATCGGGCTGTGCAGGCTTTTGTGGAAGGTACGGTTAATTTCACAGCACTGCATTCATATGCATCTACTGTCTGAGTCAGTGTGCTGATCTTGGATCAGTGTCATCTGTTGTGAATCCAAGCATTGAGTGAATGACTTATCTGTAGATTTTTTTTTATTTTTTTTTTTGATTGGCATTAGTCTCTTTGCTTGAGTGCCTGCACATGACTGCATACGTGTGCAGTGTGTCTACTGTACCTGAGTGAGCACACCCGCATACAGGTATGGTGGAATGCAACTCAGGTGTCTTAGATGAAAGGAGTATTTATGGAAGAGAAAAGCTGGCTCAGCTTCTTAAATAGATTCTTTCCTTTTACTATGTGACACTGAACACTAATCAGTCACTTTAGCTGTGCCAGGTTTCATCAGTTAATGGCTAGCTTACTACAAAGTATTAGTTTTTCAGTTTAATGATTTAGTCAGATTTGTAGAGATACAGTATGAAATTCGGCCCTAGATATCAACTTATAAACCATGTTTGTATTTTGCGGAGCACGATTATATACTGAAGTCATGTATTTGAGGTTGGATAGGCTGTATAAAATTAACCCTATAGGGGTGTAACGATACACAGGTTTCTAGAGATATATCCCTCCCCTCCCCCAATACAGATATTGAAACCCTGGATAGTGGCTGATGCCAATCCAGTATTTCTTCTTTAAAGTGTCATTATGTATTGTTATATTTGAAAATAGTATTCTTGAGTAAGGAGGAAAAAACGTGCTGTTGTGAATGTAAAGCCTAAAATAGTCATTTAAGTTATAAATGTTGGTTCAGATTTCGCAGGAGTTCTTGGAATCACGTCATATGTTATCACCTATAGACATCACATGCAAGGGCTCAAAAATAAGGTCAGACTCAATGTTTAGATCTCAGAATTTAAAATCAACATATTACTGATAAAGATATGATGGCAGTAGTAGATATTGACCTACATTTTTGGAAGAACTGTCCTTCAAGTTTTGTCAGAGTTCTCTTGAATGCTCTTTCAATATGTTCACAATCATCAGATTCATCTGCACGGTGCATGAAATTACTCGGTGCCCATTAAAAACTTAGCTTAGCTTTAAAATGAATTGAAGTACTTCACTTAAGATGAGCATCTGAAAGTAGGCCATCATGCTCCAACTTCTCACACCCTGCTACCCCACAGGAAGAAATGCACAGCTAACATCACCATCAGACAATGGTAGCAAGAGCTGTTTCACAAAGGGAGCAAGAGCTAAGCTAGAGCTTAAAGCTTTCGACTTGGAGAGAGGAGAACATTAATTTGAAAAATCCACAGGTGTTTCTGTCCGTCCTTCCGCTGTGAGAAGACAACTCAACACTATGACTCTGAAAGGATGTAAGGCTGTCAAGAAGTTGTTTCTGAAAAAAGGAAATAGACAGGAAATAACAAATCAAATAGTTCTCAGTACATTTTTTGCACAGCACTGTATGTCATTATGTTTGTCACACTTTTATAAAATCTCTGCTCGATTCCCAGCGAATATCTCACAATTGAACAAAAAGAATATTAATGTGTGTATTGTAACACCCTTAGAACCTTATGTGTTTAATGACTTGAACTAATTTTATATAATGAGAGCTGCTGTTTATTCAGACCCAGTATTTCATATCATGTTCATAAACCATTACAGCGTACCAAGAACTATAATTTTTCACTGTACTTGGCATGTTCTGTTTTGATCACCAGTGACCTCAACTATGAGTGACATTTTTAAACTATTTCCGTTTCTTTCTTTTTCTACCCTCAGGCAGTGCAGTAGAGATCCTGAAGGAATGGAATGTTACCGGTAAAAAGAAGGTGTGTCCCAGCAGAATGACGCATTGAGAGCATGACAGTGGAGGACTGCGTCACAGCATGAATCTGTAGACGCTGTTAGCCTAAATTTAGTGTTAAAAGAATTTGGCTTCTTTTTTCTCTGTTAGTTAACAGCTTTATTTTTTGTTTCTTTTCAAAATGCACAGGTCTTATTATGATGTCTTGCCCTCCTCAATCAAACTTGTTTCCTACCAGATACTAAAGTTGCCTGTTTGTCTGTTTATCTGGCAGGTTTTACAAATAACCAAGTAACTACCTATATGAGATCATTAAACGGTTGGAACACGCAAACTGGTAGAATGATGAATCTGATTTTTGTATGAATGGGACTACTGTACCATGACTTAAAGTAGCCTAGTTGTGATGTTGGCAGACTGTGGAACACTTCAGTTAGAGGAGCACACAAGCGCATTATAAGTCGTTGGAATGCTAGATGGAAATGTTTCCAACTGTCTGGTCTCAGACTTGCAAATGCAGGGAACAGTATTGTTTTCTGTTCAGAACTTAAGTTAGTGTTTCTTGGCTTTTACTTTAAGAAAAGTTGAACATTTATCTTTTTGCTAATTGACAGCCCAAGAAGAAAAAGAAGCCTAAACCCCAGCCTGAAGCTCCAGTAGTCCCCGCCCCCTCTGAATCAGTTCCACCTCCAGAGGCGGAGTGTGCGGCTGCTGTGAACGGTTACCATGCCAATGGTTCTGCTGGTGCTGATGGGGAGTCGCTGGACTCCTTGAGTGAACAGCTAGACTCTGCCTCTTTGGATGCAGCTGAACTTGAATCGGAACCTGCTACGCCTGAGCTCTCCATCACAGGTAGTCATGGTGTTTATCACCGTAAATTGTGTTCTGAGGTGCTTGCTTTCTTTACATTTGCATTGTATGCATTTGCATACATCACTGTTGAATAATGGCAGTATTATTTTTTTCTATTTGAAAGTTGAGGACTACACCAGTGCTTTGTTTTAGCCCAGCATATTTTGTTTTTTCAGTTGTCAGTAGTAATTGGGTGCATATCATTAGTTACATACGTTGCCTAAGTTGCAAGGTCAGAGTGTTGAATTTCAAGAACAGCAGCACCCTGGTGAGAACATGATGCACCCTCCATACCGCCAGCTATCCTTGTTCTCTGCTTGAAGTTTGTACAGGATAGTTCAAGCTGTACTTTAAAGCAGTCATTACCTGTCCAAGATGTTTCTGCCATACAGTAATGAAAAAGAATGTCTCTCTATTAGACTGGAAAAGTTTATGTGGATGACTGGATAAATCAAGGCAGTCACATAATACAACGAAGAAATAATTTTGGACAAGATAATGCAGACTACCTTTGTGAAAGAAAACATACTTTTCAAAAGTGTATTTAATATGAAAGTTTGTATTTTTAATGTTACCACTTTAAACATACTTAAATAAGAACAAAAAAGTTATCATTTTAGAGATACAAGGTTTTGTTCCAACAGCAGCGATATTTAAGCTGTGTTTAGTTATTTCAAAATAAGATATTTAAAATGTATTTAAAATGTATACTTAATTATATATATATAATTATTGTCTTATAATGATATATGTCCTAAAAATAATACACTCAAGTTGATATAGATTAAATATTATTTATATAGATATTGTTTAAATATGCTTCAGTATATTAAGAAATATTTTATTCAAGTGTATTTACTTATGTAGCTAAAGTATAATTTAAAATGTGCTTCAATAAAAATATACTTTTCACAAATTTAATTAAAAGTATATTTTAAGTGTATATGTATTAAGTGCTTCTTTTTTGCAAGGGTAGTCTTTGACAATGTTACTTCAGTGGTTTTCTAGTGTCTTTTTAATATGATGTAAGGTATATGACAATCTCCATACGTGGCAGTATAATCACAATGTTATTATATGGTAGTCTACACTGTTTCTAACTTGAATTTACTCTTCGTTCATTTGTCTTTTCACAGGAGGAGAGGCGGAGTCTCAAAAAAGCTTAACCCCAACTGCAAGTCCAGCCCCGCAACAAGGCACCAATAATGGGAGCTCGACAAAATCACCACAATTCCCGTGGCGGCAAGTCCCGGCCCAGACCTTCTACTAGCTCCCAAAATGCCACTGTGGCCCCTTCCTTTCCCTCTGATGACAGTCAACAAGGTTCATCAGCAGGCAGAAAAATTGGTAAGAGTGCTGCCATAACAAGCATTACATTTGAAAGCCCTTTGAAGATACTGTTGTGTGTCTTTTGTGCTATTATGGAGAACAAATGCTTATTTTTGCAAATTATAAGTCATATTAAAGTCCTTCTTTATGTATAGAAACCTACCTGGTGTGAAGTCTAAGACTGAGAACAATTTTTTGGGCATGCATGTGTACTAGAAATTTAGAAAGTGACAATCTTCTTTTTAATGACCTCTGTCTAATTAACTGTCAGCAATGTAGTGCTAAATATGCTGTGATATTCCTCACAGATTTTTGAGTCTCTCTTTCCATCTTCCCTGTCTTTCAGTCAGCCATCCTATTCCAAGATTTAGATCAGAAAACTGGTATTTTTCACACACTCGCTCAGGCACACAAACCACCATTCTAAATTTAACCAGCCTGAAATACCCAGTGTGTAGCTGATTGAAGTTCACAGGCAATGTTGAAGAACTGCGAGGTTTGGGTGGTTCCAGTATTGTAGTAAAGGCCCTCTATATAGGAGGGACCATGAGAAAAGAAATGATTCAAGGCACCAGTTTCTGTTCCTCAAGAAGCTTCTGGTTACTGTAGTTTACTGAGCTAGAAGGCACAGCACACCCCTGTATGACTAGCTAAAGTCTTCTAGTTCTTTCTGTTCCTGTTTTTAGTCTGAAAGCCATGTTTAATTCCAAGTCTTGTCCTAGACTCTGCGGAGATCTCCTCATAGACATACACATACAGAGTTTGTAAACCTGCCTTGTTCTTATACTCAATGGTCGTTTAATCATGTATACCTTTTTAGGGGTGTATCGTACTCCCTTGATGTTTTGAACAAAATTTGACTGAAAAAAAATGATGACTATAAAGTTGTTGCACAATTTCCTAATGACACCAGAGCTGAGAGGCACAAGGAATGCTGGAATGACTTGTTATTGGTGCTGCTCTTTTGCAGACTTCGGTGTTCAAACAATGCAATTGCTTTGGATGGCATAATTCATAGAGTGTCCAATCTCCACGATGCATTGTCCCAATTTTGCTTTGCAGTATGCCACGATGCATTGTTACACCCCTAATACTTACCACATGGGCATATAAAGGTGCACTTTTTGAATACATAATTCCTGACTGTAGCTCGTCTTTTGCTGCACAGTTTATTGGCCTTAAGATAGGGGGAAATGCATGGTACAATCTGTTAAAAGTGGGAGGTGGTCTGTGAGAACCCAAATGTTAAATTTGAACCTGACCCGTGTCTGACATCTTCCTGATGCAAAAATTAACCGAGTTACATTTCAAGTGTCAAAGTTAGGTTACGTGAGGTGTACTGATTCGTAGCAGGCATTCAGTTAAAGGTTTCTGTGGTTCTATTATCCACCACACAACTCAGCCAAGAGACTCTTAAGATCTCACGGGTATCAGAGAGAGCTTCTCTATATACTCCCATAAGCCTCACAGTGGTGAAGCAAAAGAGCATGAGAGACAGAGGAAGGCATGGGCTATACCCACAGACTCACTGGCACATTGCACAAGGGAGCTGTGTGTCACAACAGGGACTTGAATATCTCTGGCTGTCATCCAACTCCTTTGTTGACCATCTGTGTGTAATACTGTATTCTTTGACTTTTGTGTGCTTTTGCATGTGGCTAATTGAGTCACTGCTTGGCGTAGTAGATAGACCTGACTTCCATCCGGCCCCTGGCATCCTTGTGGATCCATTGTGGATGCTGTGGGCTCATATTAAAATTTCAGTTTGTTTTATTCCTGTCTTTCTCTTTTTTTTGTTAATCCATACACCCCTGTCTTTTTCTCTCTCTTTTTTTTATTTTTATTAATCCATATATTATTATAATGGGTTGGTTTTGAAAGTCCCCCTATTGCTGAACTATATAGGTATTATTCAGCAGAAAAGTTATGTGAATGAATTGAACAGTCAGCTCCAGCAGTATCATTAAAACCTGTTGTGTGTATCTCTCTCTCTCTCTCTCTCTCTCTCTCTCTCTCTCTCTCTCTCTCTCTCTCTCTCTCTCTCTCTCTCTCTCTCTCTCTCTCTCTCTCTCTCTCTCTCTCTCAGCACCAAACATTGATCGCTCCGTGAAAGATCTACAGCGGTGTACAGCATCTCTGACGCGGTATAGAGTGGTGGTGAAGGACGAGATGGATTCTTCCATCAAGAGGATGAAACAGACCTTTGCTGAACTACAAAGCTGGTAATTCAGCCTGTCACCTTACTTATTTTCTGCACGTCAGTTGGTCCTCTGAACTGAGTGGTTTTGGGGGAAAACTGAAAAATCAAGTTGTCAGCTTGTTAATTAATTAATTAATTTTCAGCTTGTTAGTTAATTAATTAATTAATTAATTACATAATTATTTGTTTTTTCTTTTTAATTTTTTGGGTAGGGGTTTGGGGTGTGTGAAATGTATGCTTTTAGAGTACAAATACAGTGCAAATACCTTTGAAACGTTCCAAAGGTCATAGAAATGCATAGAGTCTTGTGTTTAAAATTATCTTGGACAACTGCAAACATAAAAACAGGCTCTTGTGTGAAAAACGAATGTGTATTTTACCTTTCACAAAGATTTTTTTTAAGCATAAAATAATTCACCTACTAGCTTGACAGCTATAGGGTCCCAAGTGAAGTGTAAGATTATAGATGTTCCGTTATTCAAGTCTTACTGCATTAGTGGGATACTATTTGCTAAAACTGAGGTGTGAAGTAATTTCACTGCATCCTTATAATCTTTGGGAAATTGAAAAATGAATTTAGCAGTCTGTGTGTTGCTGAAGCATTAACTTTGACTGTCCTACATATTGGAAGAAAATTGTCTGTTGACCCCAGTACATTTCCCCTCACCATGTATGTTTGTTTAAAAAAATAAATAAAAAATAAAAAAAATAATAATAATTCCCCCCATCCGACACACAATGCATCTGTTTGTAGGGCATGTCAAGTTAACCATTTGTAAATAAGAACATTAATAGCTACCTAACCAATAGAGACATTGGTGTACAGAGGAATAATATGTATTCTGGGCTTAGATGCAAGTAAATGGAAAGTGTCATTGATATCCATTAGAATGAATACTTGTCAGTATATACAGTCTGACAGCTCTGACTGTTGCTGTTAGGAAAATTAGTGAATTTAGTGAAATACTGTGGGATGCGGTGTTGTGACTGCTCTGACTGCTGCTGCATAGAAAGCTTAGAGCTGTAATAATACAGTAGTTTACACATTGTTGACCTACTGAATGCATAACCTTTGATGTAAGCTGCATAAAGCTTAAACCACTCATATTCTGTTTGTGATATGTTCATATCCACTCTAATTTTTGTGGCAATACACTCATCTCACTGTGCCTTACACTGCCACCATTCATATGACATCATAGCCACTACCATGTACAAAGAATATTTACTCATGACACAAACTAAGGAGATCAGCTTTGCTGTTCTGCCAAACAGGATGCTAATTATTAAAAGGCAAGATCATTCTAGGCAGTTTTTCTTTATTAACAATCTAGTTGATTATGCAGTATTTGTGGCTACTGTCAAATCCAGACTACCAAAGCAGTTAAAGTATTTTACAGTGTTTACATCTTTGAGGATTTTTATTTGGCAAGGAATGAAAGAAGATGACTCACTTGTATGTGGAACATGGCTTTCCCAAATGAGAGGCCGGAGTCCATTTTAGTGGCTACCTGTCCAGCTGATTGGGGTTGTGAAACAGTGGCTAGCTTCTCCTTCTGATATACAAATAGATCCTAGGTTACTGTGCATCATTGCTGTTCCTAATCTGTTTATTACCTTATCTCATACTTACTCTCAGAACCTTTGGTCTGATTGACCTATTGCTGCTTTTCCCTCTCTCTCATCACTGTAATGTACACACAGATGACATCATGCTGACTGGTAGAAGATTTAGATAGTGGGGTCTGTTTTAAAGTGATAGTTTAGCTGAAAAAAATTACAGTAACTGGAGTTATGTGTCTTGGCTGATTTGGCTATATTTGTGATAAGGGGACAAATTGTATTAATCTTAACACCTTTCTTAGTCTTTCCTTTGTGGATAATGGTGAAAAAATACAGTATACTTAGTTTCCTCTGTCTCTTTGTCTCTAAGTCTCATGGACCGGGAGGTGGCTCTTTTGGCTGAGATGGATAAAGTCAAAGCAGAAGCAAGTGAGTATACATATTTGTTTTTTGTTATTTCTCTCTTTTATCTCTCTCTTTGTCTCTTGCTTGCTTGCTTGCTCTGCATTAGTGTTGGGCGGTATAATGGTAATAAGGTTTCTGTTCTACGTCTATGTTGTAAACAGCCAAATAAACTTGTTTTACCCATTCCCATTTTAGTAGGAGGAGGGGGGGGGGCTTTACAAGATTTGCCTGAAAACAGGCATATACAGAGATGGAAGCACGTCCAACAAGCTTTCCTTTTTAAAAATTAATACCTAAGAAAATGTAAGTGGAACAGTGGCTTGGCAAAGGCTAACAGTGACACACACCACAGAACACGCTACCCACACCATTGTCACTTCAACACCAGTGACTTCACTTTGCACTCTCAGATATGAGTCCTTAATTCCTAAACGTGTAATTTGAACGTAAGTTAGTTGGAACTGAGCCTGAACTGTGGTGCGTGGCACTTTTAGCCTGCCACCTAATCTATCATTAGCTTAACGTTACCTGAACCACAGTACAAGTTTGACTTGGGCTTTCTTTTACTCCAACACCAGTCACTTGGCTCTCTCAGACATCGTCTATCTTCTGCACTTGTCATTTAGACAGAATCAAACATGTACTGTGGTATGTGGGACTGATTGGGACTGTATCCTGCTTGCTAAGCTAATGTTGGCTAGTAGGCTACTGATCCAAATTCTACTGAACAGGAAAATGAACACTGCCCAACCCCACTCTCCATGCTTCTCACTGTATAACTGAGGCAGAACCAGGCGCATCCAGGTGCTTTCTCACCATCGGTCTTGCATCATGGATGGTATCGTAAACCATAAAGAAAAAGATGGTAGCAGTGCTGTTTAAAATTGAGAGATTAATTTAAAAATTATATTCCTTCAAGGGCATAAAATTGCAGTTTATATGCCGTGTGTGTGTGTGTGTGTGTGTGTGTGTGTGTGTGTGTGTGTGTGTGTGTGTGTATGTATGTCTGTGGGGGGGGAGGGGGCTTGTGTTACCATTTAGGAATGCATACCTCACAAGGAGGCCATTCTCCTAGACTTTGCCCTAGGAAGCACTATCAGGTGTCAGGTCTCCCTCAATGGCCCTTTTGTGTTTGTGTTCAATTAGGAAATAGCAACCTACAGTAATCCTGCTTTCAGGTTCTACACTCCACTCTCTCTTTTCCTTTTCCTTGCTCTTTTGTCAGCCCTTTCCTTTTGAAAAGGGAAAGACAGTCCCTCTTGGCCTAAAAGAGATGGCTTCTGTTTTGTATGGTCATCCTACCTACTAGTTACATGTTTCTGTCTGTGTAATGCCTGCTGGAGTGCTTTCCGTACCACTACATGGACTCTTGCATTCAGACGCTCTCTTGAGCGCTGAGAGTTCAGTCAGACTCCAGCAATGCGTGTGCATTGTGTTTAGTACCACAGGCGACATCAGGCTTCTTAACACGTTACTGTTTGTCTTGCTCTAACCTTGGCCTGACTAGCTCTATGTTTTTGCAAAGTGGGCAGCTTTATTGTAAGATAGTAGTGCAAAGCATGAAGGGCTGTATTCAAGAGGATCCAACATCAATACAAAAGCCTAACACAACAGCTCAACCTACCAGCCACATAAAATGGAAGCTGGATTGGTTTGAAATAGAAGAGGGTGCTGATAAAATACTTTTGCATTTATTGTGGGCCTTTATGAGCTTTCTCTCACAGTTGAGGGAGACTGAATAGGGAGGGGTTTTTTGTGCAGAGCAGTAAAAACATTAAAACAAAGTTTGGCACCCACTTCTATTTCAAGTCAATCTTCCATACGGACTAAGCACAATGTCTTTGTATATTATTTTGCTGCTTTTTGTTATCGCAGAGATTAAACAAGTCACCTATTCACTATACTATGAAGTGCTATAAAGTACAATCTGATAGTAAAAGATCCTACTTACACCAATATAATAAATTACCTTACACTAGTGATGTTTTTGTGTTGTGATGTCAATTGCTTTTTGTGTCTGGTTTAGTGGCCATCTTGGACAAGCGGCAGAAGCGAGCTGAGGAGCTGAAGAGGCTCACTGACAAGTCTGCTTCCATGTCCGAAGAGCAGCTATCAGAACTACGCGCAGACATCAAGGTATGTGTATCTACCGCAGTATAGGAATGGAGTGGTGGCACTTCCTGCTCAAACTGTGCTGTAATCATGTCTCTCCTGCTCTGCTGCAGGTTTTGTATTTTCTGCTCCTCACTTGCTCACACAGTAGAAAACCTGCTCTGTTTTATTCATTCTCGTTACATTTTTATTTTATATATTTTAAATTTCTGGACACAGGGACAAGGGACATTCTGCGCCTTGCTCCAAGAAAAAACCAGGCAGAATTACATAATTTGTGACTGTTATTAAATGATAAACTAGTTGAACATTCCATGCTATACAGGAATTTTATCGTAGGTCTGTGAGTCACTGTTTCAAGCCTAATCACAAGCCAGAGAACTTCAGAGAAAGTGCTTCAAAGGAAGTGCATGTGCCTTTAGCATGATGTACTTTACTATTTGTGCAGCAAGATGAATGGCACGAGACTAATGCCATGTTCACATGGGCATATGTTTGTTTAGAAAAAAAAAATGAGAGTGAGAGAGAGAATGGTGCTTTGACAGACAGGAGACTCTTAACGCATGATAGTGTGTGAAAATTACTGTCAGTTTAAAAGGTTCACCAGAGTTTAACTCGGACATGTCTATTTTGTCAGCCAGTAGGATAGAGTCTGGGGCAGTGCTTCAGTCAGTTGATTTTGAACAAAATGGAAGAGAATCTAATTGATGCTGTCAACTCGTATTCAGAGCTGCACAATCCAGATGTAGTAGGACAGGGACTGATTTGATTAAAAACTGCACACATTCATTATGAAAATGAGAAGTAACTGCCAGCAGTTTTCACTTTCAGCAAGCAATTCTCGCTTTTTCATGTTTGAATGATTTTCACACTCAATCTCCACTCACAAACAAGCAACCAACGAAGCATCAACATGTATGCTTTTTTTTGATGGATATAAAAAAATATTTAATAAACACTGCCTAATTGTGTAATTGTCTGTAGAACTTACAGTTGCAAGCATTATTCCAAAATACCTTTTTGCAAACTCTGTATGAATTGCTGTTGTGTGTGAGCTGTAGCACGCAGAGCTAGTCTGCATGGGAGAATATCTGTACACTTGTGGGATGAAGCGGTATCGGAATGATATTGAATATTATGAGGGCACCATTGCGCTGACTTTCTAAAATGTCGCTCCTCGCTCCAGGCAAAATCACACAACTTTGCTCCATGCTCCACTCTCACGCTGCACTGCTCACATATGCATGCATGTGCATACCAGAATATATACTATGACACTTTTTTCCTCTTTTTCCTCCAGCACTTTGTAAGTGAGAGGAAGTATGATGAGGATCTGGGAAAAGCTGTTAAATTCACTTATGAACTGGATCCTCTCAAAGCCAGCGTCATGGCATTTGGATCAGGTAGGATGCTTGCATACATGTGCATGTGCGAATTTCCACTTGTTTGTTGGCTTTGTTAACTCTTTTTTCCTCTCTCCCTTTGTAGTGTACCACCCTCAGACAGGATACTCACATCGTTCTCGCTGTAGCTCCACTTCTTCTTCTGTCACTGGCTCTGCCCCTGTGGAAGCCCCGCCTCCTCCACAGGCTCAGGCTCAGCCTCAGCCTCAGGCCTCTGGTTACACAGGCCGCCCCAACGTCCCTCACAAACAGGTAAGACCCTTGTTGCTCAAATGAACATCCCTCACACGCATCAGGATGCAAAGGCTATCCTGGATTATATTCATCTATTTACCTCCCTCTCTCTTTCTGTTTGATTCAGGTGTTTCAGGGTAACAGGCGTATATTTCAGGGTTACCAAGGCGGTCAGCGCCATAACGGTGGTTCATACTACGACCGCAACCCCAACCAGACCAACTACCGCTACCACGGAGACCAGCGTCATCAGAGTGACCGTGCCCACGGCGATGGCCCCAACTCGCAGTTCTCCAATAGCACAAGAGGCCCCTCCCACCCTTCCGCGTCAGCCTATCGGCAGGATCGACCCGCCCACAACGGGCTGCCGCAGAGGCAACCTAGGACCAACTGCCCCTGACACCTTCGGAATGCTTCCCGCTCACCTCCGTTATGTCTCTGTGATCCCTGCGCTTTCCTTCCAGTCCCTACACAAACACCTTCCCCTCCCACCCTGCCATACACCATCCCCCCATTTTTCCCAAAACCCTGCCCCTGTGATCACACAGATATTCCATATGGATGAAGAATAGAACTAAAAGTTTACATCTCCTTTTTCCTCTCTTTGGTCAAACTGAGCTGTAGTGCCACCTCCCCCATCCCGCATCCATCTCCCATGTTAACTCATTCATTCCATGTCCTCTCCCCTTATTGCACGTTCCAATTATTATTATTATTTTTTTTTTTTGTTTGTTTTTTTGGACAAAGCTCTCCTGTTGTCATTCTCCTCCCTCTAACCCATTCCATCAGTTGTTGTGCAATGATTTTTGTTTAATTTTTTTGTTTGGGAGAGGCTTATACTTATTTCTGCTCAGTGGCTAAGAACTTCATTAAGTGGAAAAAAAAAATCGTTTTAGTCTTAATTTGTAAAATGTTTAGTGCACTATTCATGTTTCTTTCTTTAAGCTTTACTTCTGTATTATCCATTTTCATTTTGCAATCTTCTTTTATTTCTTTTTCCATGGCTTTTTTTTTTTAAATATATAAATAGTGCGCTACCAGTATTTCTTTCTTCAAGCTTTAATTTCATATTATCTTTTAAACGCCATTGTCTCATTCTGTCTTTTTTTCACCTTTCCTTTTTTTAAATTTGGAGATTGATGTTTAGCTGTTGGGCGTTAACTTTGAGATCATTTAAGATCATCGCTAGATTGCAGTGTTGAATGGTACATACAATAGTAAGAAGCGCTTGTTTTTCTTCGCAGACAATAAATGCAGAAAAGCCCACTGTTAGATTCTGTAGGACCTTAAAGAAGTGCTGCTGACTGAATATATGCTCAGACAGTCCTTTGTCTGATACATCTGAGCATGATTGGCCCGCGTTATGTTGCCTTATGGCCATGATGGTTTCTTTATATTTGTTACTAAGACAATTGACATTAATTACTTTGCGTTTGGCTCAGCTTTATTTTGCTGAGCAGAGGCTGGGCTTTGGTTGGTTCTCTCAGATGTGCAGTGGTGCAATTTCACTGTATGCTCATCCTTGAGCTCAGTTCTGACAACCTCGCTCGGCTTTCACCTAAGCAGGAAGGCCGTATTGGAGTCATAAAGGCTGTAGTGGAGATGGAGGCTAGGTCTGTGTGAGTGCGCTCTAAGTACTCTCCAGCAGTATGCATGCAGCGCATTCATTATACTTGCCTTTGATCACAGTGCAACCTCACTCTGGTCTTTCTTTTTCTTTTTTTAATGAAGTGGCTGTGTGTGCGTGTGAAATGTACTGCAAATGAAGCAGAAAAGTTCCTAGATCTTTCACAATCATATATACTGCATTACTATCACTTTACTGCTTCTTGACCTGTACCAAGTCAAGGAATATTCAGCAGAATTTTTTTTGTATATCATTTAAAGTTTGTTGAGTGCATGTCACGTCCCTCTGTCTGAAGGTGCTAAAGTGAAATGTAGGATTTTCTCTTTCTCCTTCCTCTCTCCTTTGTGTTTCCACAATGACTGAACAAAACAGAATCCAGTGATATACCTCATACCATACCGCTATGACTCTGATAGTCCATGCCGAGAACAGGGCCCTGCTTGCTTTAGCTGGATTTCTGAGACCTAGCTCTTTTAAATAAGCTGTTTAACCTCAGTGTCCTCGTAGCACGTCTCATTCCAGCTCTATCTCCATCCTCTTTTCTAATGGATGTGTAGGATTGCTTCTTCTCCACAATATTTCAGTCTGTTAGAGTTCACAAGAGGTTAAAACTTGGCTGCGTCTTTGTGGTTTTCACACATGGTCCCTGAATCGGTCACTTGGTACTGTCACTTGCTGCATGCCTGTTGTCAGCGCAACAGTAAAGTGTTTTTTTGCGTCTGGTTGTGCATTTGTCACTTGGTGGATGACAAAACGGCACCTCTTACATTCTTCTGTAGCTTTCTGCTGCCCCTGCCCTTTCAACAGCCAGTGAAGCCTCAAAGAACTTTGACATGTGGCCACTTTGTCATTTCTAGCGTAGAGGTTCATTCACACAAAATTCATATGTTTCTCTTGTTCTGCTGGAGTGTTTGACCTGGGCCACATCACCAAGGAGGATGTCTGGAACACTTTGTACACCGTTAACTATTAAAAAAAGACAAACAAAATGAAACAATTGCCATTTTCTGTTTTCATGTAAATTTATCACCAAAGAGACGCTTTGTCTTCTTGTTCAAGTTACTGCCTTCATGAATTCCACTGTTCTTATTTCTACTTTGCCATTTCCTAATGCGCGACTCCGAATGATGATTTCTATGACAGTTTATATATACCCATTCTTCTCTTCCTTCCTCAGCCCTATCTGTACATATGTATCTATATATTTGTTTTGGAGTCCTTGCCCAGGGCCATATGTATGTAGTTGTATCACTAGGCCTATGGCTTACCTCCGGTTGTAAAGAGAACCTAGTTTAGTCCAATTCTTCCCAATGTATAGAAAACTGTCTTTTTTTTTTTGTTTTGTTTTTTTTTGTTTTTTTTTGTTTGTTTTTTGTTTCCAAGTATGAGACAACTGTAAACTCAAGTGCCTTCTGTCGTTCTGCCCCTCCCCACACTGTCATTCCTCGTCCTACCATCTCCAAGTGTGGACCAAAGACATGTTCCAGCCCCTTCCAGACTGCCTCCACTCTACATGATCCCTCCCCTGTCTGGCTACAGTACACGCAGCACTTGGACCCTCCCCCATCTCACTGATTGGCACACTTCTCATTTACTATGAATAAAAAAAGAATTGTTAGCAATTGCAAAATGCTGTTTCCAGACCTTGTATTTTCTGTTCGAAGCGTGAATGGCCTGCAATAGTTTGTCAAAACGAAATCAATACATTTTTTCCCCAAATGTAGTCAATCAGCCAAAACATGTTTGACATGCAGACTTCTTAATTTAACACTGGAGCTACAAGGCTAATCTAGTTTACAACTTTTCTCACAAATTGGCGTTGTGTGAAGTGCATGCCTAAATAATCACACATCTATAAAAATGGACTGAAGTTAAACAAAAACTTGAAGCAATTTGAAGCATGTGATTTAGATGTGATTTAGTTTTGCGCATTGCTAATTGGCAGGATATATGCTTCTGTTATGAGCTAGAAGCCTCGTAGCCCCAGTGCAAACCTAAATAAGCAATCTTTAGGCGCTAAACATGGCTGATCAACTACATTTTTCCAAGAGCTGACAAGGAAGTGATTGTTTTTGACGCTACCTGTATTCCTTACTAGAAGGAAGTAAGAGTTTAATGTCTTAGTGGACCTTGCAGTGCTAGGTGAAACGCAAGATATGTGAATAACATGCTTTGATGGCAGTAATGGCAGTAACTTACTAGAAGAGGGGTGTAAAACCACCAACATAACACACACACGGCAACTAATGTATTACAGGACTGACAGCAAATGTGAAAAACTAAAGTGAGCTAAATCTACACTGCTATTTTAGAACAGACACCCAGGTGTATTTAAATATTTTGGAAGATGTTCCTTGGCTGAGGTGAATGTATGTGGGTCAGATCAATAGTGAGCAAGAGCTGGTTATAGAAGACGTATTCAGGGGGAAAAAAATTAACTGCGAAAAGGGCATTTTTAATGAAGTGTAAAGGTGCTGCACAAGAATCAGTTTTTACTTCCTTTTATATCTTGATGTAGCACATAATTCTGGAGCTGCAGCGGAAAGCTCAGTGCTTTGGCCTAAGAAAATATAGTTCAGTGTATTTGTAATCAGACTGGTAGCTGTGATGTATACAAGATGTTGGAGATCAAGACAGATAAGAAGTTTGGTGCAATACTTTAGAAGATCAGTAGGCTAAGTAGTGATAGAGTCCAGCTTGACAAAGGGACAAAACACATTCTTGGGTATATTTGGAGCACCCTGCATTTAACAAAAAGTACAGAGAATGCAGACAGAAACAAAAGTGGGGAGTTTTCCTGCATTAAAAGGATACTCTTACCATCCCATTGCATATAAAGACTCAAATGACATGGGTAGGTTGACTGTTCATTGTAGGATGCGCATAACATGTAGAGATCATGACCTCTTAAGACCACCACTCTAAAGTAATCCAGGTCAGTTTCTCAACAGTGCACCGTTTTACATCAAACCACTCTGGTTTTGTTTGCGTCCCTAGCATTGAATTATGCAGAAATTTTGAAACATTGATAGAATTTTAAGTTGATACTGAGATGAAGAAAAGAGCTGGCAAGAATTCTTGCTGACCATCGATGATGCACATGGAGACGCTCATCAGCTCTCGCCATCTGTCTTTAGCTCTTTTGTTTGTTGCCCAAGAGTGTGCATGCCTCTGTAGACCAGACTGAAGGCCTCAGTTGCTATAAAGATCACTCTACTGTTCATCAGGTTGTTGGTCCCCACGTACTCCGAGCTCACAAGAGAACTGACAAACCCTACAGGAATACACATCCATCCATGTAGAAAGATACATCCAGTACATGCTAATAACCAGTGTTCATGTTTGTTGGGTCTCTGTAAGTAGGCTTTCGGGGAATTTGCCTCAAGAGGATTTTGTATTTCCTTGTAGCCACATTTTTTAAGCTCCATGTTCCTTGTAATCTGGGGCAAATGTGAAAAAATTAGACTAGTTTCACGTTAACAAACTCTGTATTTGCCACGCTGATTAGCATTGTTGAAAAAGGCACACTGAATCTGGAAGTTAAACTAACCACACTATTTAGTTGGCTATTTACAGAAACCTGGCTAAAACAGGCTAGCACGTGTGAGTGAGTGAAAGTGCAGTCTTTTTTGTGTTAGTATGTGAGCGTTTAAGTAGAGGAGGAAGTCTGTTCTCTGTCTATGTGGAAGGAGATAAACACTGTAATGTAGCATGAAGCCCAGAGCTCCTGTCTCCTAGTGATGTGGCAGGAAACATTCTCAGGAGAGCCATGATGTGTCTTCTGTGTCAGTCCCTCAACAACATACCCAAAACCACACTCACTCTTTTCCATGGTCTTTTCTAAATATGGAACAATTCAATAGATTATGTTAACAGAGTCTGTGCTCGTGTGGCAGCACCTCTTAGAGTGTATTAAACCACATATGTTAATCTTGCGGGTACTTCCATTCCAAAAGTCCAAACAGCTCACAAGTATAGAGAGTTAATAGTAAGTGAACCACGATCTGGTTAAACCTTTCACAAATGTAGTTCATTGTACGGAGAGCTCCGTACTAAGATTGCTTTTATATATACATTTATATATATCAAATTGGACATTGGCAAAACATATGGATCATACCTAAATGTCTGACAGGTGGATGAACACATCTCATTCATTATAATTGTTGCTATTTTATCTGTTAGTCAAATATTAAATTATTTAAATGTGTCAGGGAACAGTATTTTCATTTTTCATGTTTTAATTATTTAATTGTATAGCTTACAATGTGCATATGTTTAGAGTTTAGCTATGCAGCTATAATACTAATTTTCACTTCATTATGAAGTATGTGGAAGAAATGAAGATGCTTAAAAATATATAACATGAAGCTAGCATATATGAGTAACATATGCCTCCTATATATTAATAATGTTTTCTATCATACATTGTTAAATATGTGTTAGAGAAAAACGGGTGTGTTTGGAAAACAGGGAGGTATTACTGACCGGGCCAGTGTACAGGGGCTTCTTACCTGCAGGGGACCCCAGACCACAAGGCCAGAGGAGGCTTAAAATCTGCTGCAGATATGAGCATGAGATGGACAAATAACTATTGAATATATATAAATGTGTAACGAAATGAAATAAAACAAGAAATATTATGTGTTCTCAGGACCCTCAGGTTTTATACCATCACTGCTGCCATTCAAATTTGGTGTTTTACTCTTCGATGTATGTAGGAATACATCTGTTTCTGCATTAAGACTCGGTTTGGCTTAAAGGAAAAAGGAAATACCAAACTTTCTACAGTCATAGAACCTATAGAATAGATCTGTATTTGTGCTTTTTTAACTGATCCAACATACTATTTTTCAGATAATGTTCATTCAAACCGTTTTTTTTTCCTATTAAATGAATGGTGTATCGTTCAACCTATTGAAACTGTATCATGGTCCTTAAGTAATATATGGACACTTCTTACATCTCTATCTTTTATTCCTCCACAGTCACAGTATACGTAGAGTAGCTAAAAGTTTTTGGACACTCTACATGTCACATCATACACCAAACACGCACACCACTCACAATACACACTCTAAACACCACACACATTGTACACACCACATATTCTACACACATCTCACACTCCACAGACACACACACATGCCTCCCTAGCAACCACCTGGAATAATATAGCAATGGCCTAGCCACACCTAAGCAACCACATGTAATACCATAGCAACTGAGTAGCAACACTTTAGCAATCATCTGGGATATCACAGCAACCAGCTGGGATACCATAGCAAATGCCTAGTAACACCTTCACGAACTTTCCCTTCCTAGTTTATTTAGTGCTATTCTTACAGGGGGCCTCCTAACATGCTGGTCCCTAGGGGCCTTGCGAGACCATGACCCGTCCCTGTGGAAACCACACAGGTTTACCACACAGACAAATCCAAAGTTTACATTTTTTAAAATGTTTTTTAAAAGTCACTCAGGCCCATCTCTTAAACAAAATATAGATGTAACGCAGTAAAGCGGCTAACAGTGGTTGCTAAGGAAAATGGGGCGGATCTTGAGATGGTTCTGATTGGTTCAGTCCCTGATTTTGGCAGTCTAGTTGAGCCCCTTCCTTGTATTATGGCACACAGCTTGTGTTGCATACTGGACACTGTACAGTGTACTACTATGAAGAGTGGCATACAGTATACAGTGTACACTACACAGTATTCTATTTCTAACACGGCCACTGAATCTAGGGCTGGAAGCCAATCACAAAAGAATCGATTCTCTGATTCCAGATGTTTGTGAATGGAGTGTCAACTCGAGTGGTTTGGACTGAGAGATGTTAAAGCCCCAGGAAACACAGAACAATACATTGAAAATGTTTGTATGATACTAAACATGTTGTGTTAAACAGCCAGCAAAGCTTGAATGAAAAATCTAAGATATAAATATGAAAAAACACGGCTTAAAAACCGCTGATCAGACCTATCAGGGAACTGTGTGGGCGTGGCTTGTTAGCAGCTTGATTGGCAGCTCTCTGTCCAGAAACTCCTAGCCTGTTTCGCCATTCTTACACAACTAAATCCTTATGCAGCGTTTATGTGATTGAAAAGAAAGTTTATGTGACGAAAAAAGTCACGGACGAACAGATGAGCAGATGGACGAAGCAACGCGTGGAACAGGACCGAACAATGTTTATGTATAAACAAATGAACGAACAGAGGACAGGCAGCTACAGACCGGTGTTTATGTTAGATTAGCTTTAGCTCGTTGAGTTTTTCTGACTCTGAAACCGTTTTGTGTGGGCGGGGCAAGAGACGTCAGCCGTGATTGGCCGTTAACGGAAGTGTTAGCCAAGATTAGGACTGTCCAGTTGACAGTGAGAGGAGATAAATATGGGGAAATATAGTAGCCCTTTATTAATCATTAGAACATTATTCAAAGGGTATACTTGTGTACTATTTGCCTGCAAGAAGAAGATTAAACACAGGTTTAGGTTCCCTAGGTCTTTAAGGCAAAGGTTTGTCGGCACTGCGCGCGCACACACAGTGAGATAATCTGCCGTTACTCTCTAGACAGCCTGTCTTAAGTGAAATAGAAAAAATAGACTGTGTTTTACCATGGACAAAACCGAGAACAGAGTAAAATGTACGGTCAGTAACAAAAGGCGTTTTAGCTACAGTTAACCTAATTAGACACGTGCTGAAATATCTGCCCACCCGAATCAAGTGAACTAGCCCTTTAGTCAGTTAAGTTCGTTTTGCTGTTAAGTCTCCAAATGTCAAATGTCCTTGCTAAGGTCAGCTATAATTAATATTGTACTCGTTATTGTTGCCAGGTGTCCTCCTCTATGTCTTGGTTTTTGGACTTATTTATTGTGCTTAATCGACTCCATCTGTTATTGTCACTCGGAATCGGAGACGGAGCTTCAAAATTACTGAAATCGAACAGCCCAAACTGAACAGAACTACAGCTGCTCCCCCTGCTGGCCAAAATAAAACTACAGCTGTGGAAGGTGAGTAATTTCACTGATTTGGCTTAATTATTACGTGGCACTTCATCATAGTTGGAATCTTTGAACGCTGGAATATAGCAGTACTACTACTTCTCATAATGATACTGCTACTACTACTACTACTACTAATAATAATAATTATTATAATGTCTTCTTTTTTAAAACCACGCCCCCCTAAGGGCACATGTCATAACCGCAGGAAAAAATAAATTCACGAAAAAATAGGATATGGGCCCTTTAAGTTTCTTTTAAATCTAAAGTATTTAATACTACATTTTATTAAATGTGCAATAAATAAATGTCTTGTTTGAATACATAGTTTATCCAATTATGGCATGTTTCGAGTAAGAGGGCAAAAAAGGTTCTTAAAATGATTTAATTTTTCGCTCTTTTCTAAGCTAAATGGAACATTCCGCTCCACCCCCCTCTGGTCACAGGAGTGGTATGGTCCGTGGCGGAAGCGCCGAGGTGCAGTGTAAACACAGCGCTGAGGAGAACCGGCAACTCTGACTGAGACTCATTTTAGTGTTTTAATTCACATTCAGTCGTCAGTCATTTAACTTAGTCTGTGCAAACATCCTCTACGTTTCTTAGCGGTTAATATAATCGGTATCTCAGAGTTGCGATTGCCTTTCAGCTAATTTAGCTCTGAGATCTGATAGCTACAAATGTGCAGGTGTAGGTGTAGATTACATCTTTCTGTCGTCTTTTGTCTGTTTTTGCGACCTTTTCAAAGAGGAGCATCGTCCCAAAAGGACTAGAGAGCTTGATCCGTCCAGTTCTTACACTGTATGTACAGAGCTACACAGAATAAATGTGAAGAGGAGTTAAGCTGTTACGTGAATTAGATGTGTATGTGAAACTTTAATATTGTTTTAGATTCGGGAAGAAAAAATGAACTGTGCACGAAAGGTCACTTAATGGCAAATTCCACCGACTTTTCGATATTCCTACATAATTCAGTTGTTGAGAGGTAAACAAAATCATTCAGAGAATACTGACTGATTTCTTTACAGTGGTGATGATAGGAACCAGGGGCTGCGACGTCTACAACGCAAATATATCCATTTTGTTTACTATCCAAAGCAATGAACTTACACATGTATTCTGAGTTTTTATATATAATGTTGAAAATGACAAAATGGTGGTAAATCTGGCAAAAAAATCTGTGGAATCTTTTTTCCTTTCCAATTCCCCTGAATGTCTGCCATGAATGACTTTTTCTTTCTTCAGTAAAAAAAAAAGTTTTCAGGCCATAACCACTTTGTAATAATGTTCAGTGGGGGAGCTTTTAGACGCATTAAACCTGTGGCCATCTGGTTCCTATCACCACCACTGTGAACAGTTCTGACTCAGTATGTTTCTCCAGAACAGAGCATTTAACATTAAACCACTATGAATGACTTTGTTTACAACTGTATAAACGGGTAATTTCATGGGCCAAGGACCACCCGAGTTGAGAAGTAAATTCACTTTTAATAAACTTTCTTCTGGAAATGACTTAATCTCTGTGCAGGAAATCAGCATGGTGTGGGAGAGATGCAGTTCTTGTTAAATGTCGAATGTGTATGTAGTGAGCATGCTTAACCTTGAACCCCAGTTTATAAACCTCAGCATGTTTTTGGGATGTCGCAATGATGTGATCATTTTCCAAAGCTGTTTTAGATTATACTCACCTCTTGATGTGTTTCCTATAGGTGGTGATGATCATGATGGAGGGGGTGATTGGAGATGTGTTCAGGAAGTTCAACAGCTATCCTGTGCCCCTTTCTGCGTGTGTCATTGCTGAGCAGAGCAGATTTGGCACTAATGCCCAAAACCTTACCATAATGACCGGTAAGCTTTAATGAAGTTTACTCTTAAAAGTAAAGGTGCCATAAATGGTTCTATATGTGATGCTATAGAAGAAAAAATGTCTGAATTTTTGTAAATGAGATGGTTTTAAAGAGGGGTCTTAAATGAATAAAGAACCACTGTATTATCTGAAAGTTCTTTAAACCTTTAAAAGGTGTTTCACACTTGCAAATCTCTTGTTCTTCAATGGCATCACTTGAAAAAGATTAGATTTGGATATTTTACGTTTACATATATGTTTAACATTTCTACAAAGCTCTCATTATGTACTACACAGATCAGTAAAGGTTCTCAGATAGATCCAAGTAGAACCACAAATCATAAATCAAAAAATAAGTCTTGCATGCAGAACATAAGCCTTTCCCCCTCCACGTCCACTTTACTCTGATCATTTGGGTGCATATTATTATATTTTAGTTATTGTTTCCACAAAGACAGCACATATTCTATCCTCATAGAGGACCAGAGGCAAATCTGCAGTATAGTTTTAAATTTCACACTATTGTGCATGTATATTTTCTTATATTCTCCCTCTCTCTCTCTCTCTCTCTCTCTCTCTCTCTCTCTCTCTCTCTCCTGCAGAGTGGAGTCAGTGTGAGATGAACAGAGGAGTGAGATTGCGCTACTGTCAGCAGTGGTCTCTGCAATGTAATCAAAGGCCCCTTGAAAACGCACTGCCTCTAGGACCATGCATAAACACACATGGAGAGTAAGACACTTGCACGCGTACACACACATACACACAGCTCTATTCATACCTGGTATTAATATCCACCTCAAATTATCTAATTATAAATGGACAGCGAGACATATAGCCATTTACGCCTGGTGTTTCCTTGTGTCTCAGATGCATTTTTGTTGAGCACTTGTGATTCAGCTTCGTGCTGCATTTGTTATCAGACAGAAATGTGTCACGAGTCCTTGTTCAAGCTGTTACAAACATTTAGAATCAGATTCATACATACATACATACATACATACATCATCTAAACCGCTTATCCTTCTGGGTCACGGTGGGGTGCTGGAGCCTATCCCAGCTGTCATTGGGCGGAAGGCAGGATACACCCTGGACAGGTCGCCAGTCCATCGCAGGGCAGACAGACAGACATACACCTTCACACACTCACTCACACCTAGGGGCAATTTAGCACGTCCAATTGGCCTGACTGCATGTTTTTGGACTGTGGGAGGAAACCGGAGTACCCGGAGGAAACCCACGCAGACACGGGGAGAACAGGCAAACTCCAGAATCAGATTCAGAATCACTTTATTTCATTATTATGTTACACATACAAGGAATTTGTCTTGGAGAGTGCACACATGTATGGCATGTAACATACTAAACAGACCAGAGAAGCAAACAGATGGTTAACAAGTGTTTAATTCAGGGAAAAGTAAGTAAAAATGCAATAAATTGATTAAAGAATAAAGAATACTAAAACCATGTAAAGGAGCTAAAGAGATGTGTGAGTATCTGTACAAATGCAGATAAGAATCTATACGTATGCAGGTCTGAGCAGACATATACTATAATAAACTATTATATACAGAATGATATATTAATATTTGCAAAATTTAACAGTTGTGCAAATAAGCATTATGTTACAAAGGAGTTACTCTAATACAGTAAGTTACTGTAATACAGTTTGTTAGGTTCAATTTAAGTTTAAAGTGCAAGAACCCAGGATCTTAGTCAAAGACAGATGCTTTCAAGGTGAGCCGCAAGTTGACCATGTGTAATGCTTATGAAACTTATGAACAAACAAGGCGTCGAAGACAGAAGCTACACAGTGTGATGACCAGTTGATTAGGCTGTTTGGCTGGGCCTTGGGATGCTTTTGTGTTATGTGGTCATGTATGTCCCTGGCCACTTCCAAAGGTGGTTTGAGTGTTCAGATCACAGTGTGTCTCCCAAGAGCATTGGACTCCATTCACATCTGTACTTAATGCTGTGCACATGCCGGGTCTAAACGGGCCCACAGACATTAAAAGAGACACATTTACTAAGACATGCACACCCAGCATGTCTACGACAGATCATACCAATCTCATAACAATAGAAAGGGTGAGCAGACTGTTCAATAAGCACACTGCAGCATAGAGTCTTATAAACAGGCACACAAATCCAAATACATGGAGGTCATTAAAATAACCTTAGCAATGAAAATAGAGTGATCATAATCTGTACATATTAATGACTCTGCATAGTCTCTCTCTCTCGTCTTCAGGTTGCTCAGTAGTCACTCCCCTTCCGGAGCGCACAGGGTGGTAATCCGGGAGGCCAACACTCATGGTGTGGGACATCAGTACCTTGAGGTAATTCTGACTTTCCAATCCTTGACCGTCAATCAGTTACAGAGTGACAGGCTTTCCTGCATTCCTGCATCTTTCTTGTTTTTTTATTTTTCCCTGAAGTTCACTTATAACATTTGTGTAGGATTATGTACTAAAACGGTTATAACTGTTGTTGACTTTTTTTTTTTCATCTTTTGTTTGTTCCTTAGAATTGAACAAGCTGTTTCTGTGCCTCTTCGACTAGTGGTTAAAGACTTATGTTCTGATTGGCTTAAATGTTCTAATCAAGTGTTACTGCTCAGGTGTGGGGCTGCAATGGACTAGAGAAAAGCTTAGACCTCACGGCCCTCAATAAACATGGAAAAGTCTATGACGATGGTAGGAACGTCTTTTATTGCACACTCTTTCCAGCTTAATTCTGTTTTTTGCTTGTTTGTTTTGTTGTTTTTTGGTCATCACTTGATCACATGATGCACATTTAATTGTATGTGCTTGTGTGTGTAGCGCAGTTTGCATGTCTGGCTTGGTCACCATGTGAGGACAAATTGCTGTATGTGGCAGAGAAGAAGAGGGTGGGCCCTTTGGCACAAGCATCATTCTCATCAGCCAATGAGAGCAGAGGTTTGGTGGTGCTTGAGGAAGAGGTAAAACATACTTTTTACTTCTGCATTAAGGAATTTTAACTAAAAGTCAACAATATATTGTTTTGTGTAGCCATTAATTATAAATCTGTGACAGGCTGTGTTAGATATTTGTATTAGTTTAATACAGCTTTGATTGAGGTTAATTAGGGAAGGCTATTCATCATATATATTGTATAAATTGTATATCATTGCTGTGAGACCAAAATTTGTAACTTTTTTTTCTTTATTTAGAAAAAAAGTAAAAAATAAGCTTCTATTTAAAAAACAGAAGCTGTGAGAACATTTCATGAATGCCTCAATACAACTGGTCCAAAATTTTTGGTACATCACAATTTTGCCGCCAAAAAATTCTGGTCAAACAAATTGAATGAAAAAAGGCAGAAAATATTGCCTAAAAAAGCAAAAGATTAAATAGGTGTACAATTAACAAATAATTTCAATGGCAATGGAAAAACGTGAGAAAAAGTGATTCAGAACACTGTTTGTTTTCTTTGCTCTTCTGGTCAGCACAGATGTTGTTTAATCAGAATCACATAAATGATATTGAGTAACTCAGCATCTTTTCACTTGTTCTGAATTTGTTACTGCAAACATGTGCGTTCATTAAGTCCTGCTTAGGTTGGTGGCTGTTTCTTTTCTAAATGAGACACTAAAGTGACCTGTGTGCTAATAGCGCCCCCTGTTGGAGAAACTTCAGACTACTAAACAGGAGATCCAAAGCCACGTCCATGCGCTTTACACAGTAAAGAATGAAATGTTTTCCATCGTTACTACAGAAATGCTCAAATTCAACTTTAAAAAGACTTTTGGGAAACCACGAAGTTTTATGTTTTGCAACTTTTAGTAGTTCGTATTATTTAGTAAGCTGTTTACATTAAATTAGTCTTTTAGATCTGTCCCAACATGGCGATAACCACATTCATAGCATCACCAGCATTATTACCTTAATTCAGAAGCACAAATGAAATGGCAAAATATGTATGAAAAAACACTTTCTTTGCTTGCTTGTTTTGGCAGCAATTATATGCTTGTGTTTGTGTTTATTTCAGGACAAGAATGTGTATGTGGAAGACTGGGGGGAGGGTCTGGCTGGTAAAAGTGCTCCAGTGCTGTGTGTGGCTGACCTGTCTAAAGGAGAGGTGACTATGTGCACTGGAGTCCCACCTCACGTATCACCTGGACAGGTGAGCCTCTACTGCTGATTACTCTAATTATCCAGATAATTCAGTTATGTCACTTTATAGCTCACCTGTAACTGCTCTCCGTTAGGCCTTGTGGGCAGGGGATGGCAACGGTCTGATCTTCGTGGGTTGGTGGCATGAGCCTTTCAGATTAGGCCTGAAGTTCTGCTCTAATCGGAGGTGAGGGGAGAGATTAATGGTCATCACAGCTTGATGATTTTTGCATATTAGGAATATTAATTAAATTTCTTTTGTTTCAGATCAGCTCTCTTCTATATTGACTTGAAGGGAAACTGTGGTAAGAAGTGTGAGTGACTGTGTGTTGTGGATATACTGAATGCACTAGATCTAGGTAATTTAAAACAGATACTTGCAGTGCCAATTTTTTTTTGTCAGTTTGAAACTGCCAGTTTTTTTGTTTCTTGTAAAGTTTATTCAGGGTTTTAGGACCATGATAATATGTGGGAGAGCAGGGCACAAACGTAACACAGGGTAAAATGCACCATGGACTTTTTATGTGGTAAAACAGCTTTAGTGTTCTCATATTCCCATAGCAAAATTTAGTTGCAATGCCTTGTTACAACTAGGCCTCGTAAAACAATGAGAGAAGTCTGTACCCCCATATAAATTCAAAAAACTTAGTAGTAAACAGTTTTGGAAGGTTTTATACATAGATTCAACAAAAACATACCATAAAAGTCTTTTAAATGAAGTATGTTTAAATGTTATTGTTATGATATTAGTTCTTCCACTTTGTGATTAAAAATAAATTTGCCACAATTGTCAGTCTATTTTCACTATTCACGTATATATTTTTATGCACATATTTTTGATGCATTTAAGTTGAAAAGCCTTATCTGATTTAAACAAAATCAGATTAAAAAAAAAAAAACATATAACTAAATTAAATTAATTGTTTTTTACATTAGTTAACCAGACTTTTATTGATTGTTGCAAGTAGTTTGAAAAAATAAACTTTTAGGCTCATAATTTTTCTGTTGTTGTGTTAATATTTGGTGGTGTTTGTCATTTTATGTTGCCAACTTTTTTCTTTAATTGTAATTGACTATCATCACATTGGGTTTTGTTTCGTGCTGTTTTCATTGTTAATTTATTCTTCTGTTGTGTTTTTTTTCTCCCTCAAGTGGCTTCTGCTACTTGTCAGGACACCATTATAAATAAGAATGTGTTCATAATGACTTACCTGTTTACATTGAAGATTAAGTAAAAAAAAAGCCCCTCATTTTGTTCCAATTAACCGTTAACCTTTATGGCAGCGTAATGTTATAACATTTGCGCTTCCGGCACTCTTATTTGAATCTAAAATCTGAATGTTTGGCTGTGCCCCGCACTCCCCTACTGTGTGCACTAAATCATGATTATTCAAACTGAATATATTGCATGCTCTAGATGCACCATGAGACTTTTTATATCTCTCTTTGACCTTTGATCTGTGTTAGAGCTGCTGTCATCTGATTCGGGGTCAGTATTGAGTCCTCGCCTGAGTCCAGACCACCTCTGGCTTGTCTATCTACAGGGACGAGTGTTTGGCCCGCACCATCAATGTCTCAGCATGATGCTGGTAAATGCATACTCTCTCTCCCACCTACGTACACAAGGGCAGAACTCTTCAGAACTTATTGTCAGCGGCTTATTGTCACTCTCATGGTTGTTCACAGATGCATTCAGAAGCAACAAAGAAAAGAATCTGATGCTGATGGCTTTTCTAAAGAGTCTCTGTCTCTATTTTTTCTCTGTATTTCTCCATCTCTCTTTATCTTGCTCTCAGTACGACCTGCAGAAAAGGACAGGCTCAGTGTTGGTGGATGTTGTACGAAGAGCAGAGAAAGGTACACACAATAAATCTCTCTCTTGCACTCTTTCTCATCATTCATATTGATTTGTGGCCTTGACTATAACTGAATAGTACTGAGCATGCTGAATGTCATATTCACAAATGGAGGAGCTACTGAGGTTTACTCAGAAACAAAGGCGCACCACACTGTCAGGTCAGACAGTAAGACAGTATATCATAAAGTAAAACATTTATTTTTTATATAAAAAATGAATCACATTGAAAAGGATGTGTGTGTATGTGTGTCTACAGGTCAGTTTGCGGGTGTGTATGACTCACTGCCTCTCCATTGCTGGTCATCAGACAGTGAAGAAATCTTCTTCAGCAGTGCCTGTGAAAACAGTAAGGTATAGACAAGTAAATATTCACCACAGCCAAATGATAAACTCATAAACACATACACTAAACAAACCAAACACAGAATTAACTGTCATCTCTCTTCTATGCATACTTTCTTTGATACCTGTAGTATTCAATATTCTGCTGCTATTTTGACACAGATTTTTTTTTCATGACCTCTTAATTGGTCATCATATAACAGTTTCAGTTTTAAAATGTATCTGAGGCACATTACACCAATACAATGCAAAGGCTTGGGCTCCCCTAGTCAAATTTTGTTTATTTTTGGAAAGTGAAAATAAGTTAACACATCCTCTACACACTTTTTAATGCACAACTGTTTATATGCTGCATTTTATATATTGGAGGGGGACAAAACATAAAATGTGGTCTGTTCAAAAGGAATGGTACATTTTATGTTTTGTAAAAATATGTTTTATTTTTTTTCCCACAAAATATTGAATTAGCAAATAAATAGAACTTGTGCAGTAAAATGTAATATTAAAAAATGACTTATTACTGAAAAAATATAATATATAATATAAAATATAATATTTATGTGTGTTCTCTGTAGAGGATTTGTTACTTTATTTTCACTTAGAAATCAACAAAATACATAAGTGTGTTCGAATGTGTTCAGTCTTTTGCATATGACTGTATGACTGCATACTAGTTATATTATGTATAAATGTGGCAAGTTTTTGTTGTTTGTGCCATTCATAGCTTTGTACTACAGAGCTTTTACCCTGCTTAGCGATATGGGAAAACCATGGTAATGCATGGCTTCTTGTGGCTTATTGCTTTAGAGTGACATAGATAAAAAAATAACCCACAAGCTGAGTTAGACCACCGTACTGTATGGTTATGAAAGTTATTATCCTGGTTATTGTTGCCAAATGTACTTAATAAAATCTTCCTGATCAGATCACCACAAAGTGAACCACAAAGATTCAGACTGGTCAGGATGTCAGAAATAGGAATTCTTATGTTGTGTGTATTCTCAGGTTGTGTTCTGAAATTCAAGTGATGTGATCTAAAATTAACCCACAATGTCTGGTCTTGTAGTCAGTGTTCTCAGTGGAGAGACGAACTGGAAGAATAACGCCTGTGTATGACTGTAATACAGTATCACCAGGTAGAGTTTTATGTGTATTTGTATGTATGTTTGTTACTGCTTGTGTCCTGGGGCCTGTCTAGAAACGCAAGATTTATTGTTAAACAGCTTTCTGTTGACTTTAAATCACATTTTTAACCAGATTATTTCAACATGGCAACTTATGCTGCATGCCTGGCCTTCTCCAGGGCAGGTAAAGTTCAGGATTATGGATGGTAAATAACTCTTGGAGTCTAAGGCATACTTATGCCCAGTCTAAGGTATACTTCTGGTTATAGAGGACCACCACTAGTCCTTTTTAGGTCCCATTCCTTTCAATTTGCTACAACGACTTAGCTACTCATTAGTGAGATGTGTGACGAACAGTCAATTGCACGAAAACAGTGGCTTTTCAGCTGATCAGCATGATGTTGTACTACATAAAAATGAAGAAAAAAAACAATTATAGTGGTAAAACAACACTGTTAACACAGTAACTACATACCATTAACTTTTTAAGCAAATTGCAAGTAATAAAATGAAAAAAAAAATGTTTTGCAGTTTTTATTTTTTATTGCTAACATCAAACTGGCTTCAAGCTATAACAGTGCTTCCTGTAATTTGGCTTACCTGAGTCCCCCATAACCTTTTGATTAGAACATTTTGTTGGTTTTATTTTTTATTTTATTGCAATTTTTTGCCTTTAGAACCGTTAGGTAAGAGATCACGTTTCTCTGCCATACAGAGCTGTTTGAGCACTTTCCATTTAGAATGGCTGTAGCCTTTTCAGAAAATATCCCTCCCCCCTGTAAGTGCTGAAAAGGGTAGCATTCCTTTCAGAATCACTCTCGTCTCCTCCTCACTCTAGCTACACCTCTCGGCTGCTTGCTTGGTTGTTCTAAGAGACATGTAAGGGAAATCTGTTATACGAAAATGTGTTGTTTTCTGGGGAAAAAAGCAAAATAATTCCAATTCTAATTTAGCCACATTTCAGGTATTGACAACAATTTGAAACATTATGCACAATTACTGTTTCCAAAGTCATGCACAGACAGTGCTTTAATCAAAATTATTTGGATGGAGATGTGGCTAATAGCAGTAGCTGTATGTTGGCTGTAATTACTTTACTTCCTTCAGTTTAAACATATTCCTCCACTGACGCTTGACACCTCTCCATGTTTGGCTGTTCATCATATATGTCATACTTCCATGTGCGCACACACAGGGATTAATCAAGGATCAAATCTATACACAATTTGACAGTGAAAGTTGTTAATCCTGATTAATTTGACCATGTGGACAGGCCCCAGTGTTCATTTTGTGTGTGTTTCTGTATGTGTCCTCAGACCAAGAGTTTGCAAGGTCATGCTGTTGACAGTAGTGAGAGACCTGGACCATAGGCCCTATTGTATGTTGCATGATACCTCTCTACATTTAGAGTCTCTGGCACTTAGTCTAAATGGATGCTGTTTTCTTAAAGGTCTCTATGACTGCATTGTTGATTTGGCTGTCACATATGTGCAAGAGATACATTTACTACCATTTGATTGTCAAATAGTGTCATCAAAACTTCCATATATATATATATATATATATATATATATATATATATATATATATATATATATATACACACTCAATACAAAAGACGTTTATGCTGTAAGCATAGAAACGACTTTGTAATTTTAATTCTGATTGGTATATGGGTCAGTCGATGCTTCTGAAATACTCAAATACCAGCTGCTGATGAAATAGAATAGCAGTTCTGGACTAAAACTGTTGGACTCGTCTTATAAATATTTGGATCTCTTTGATTAAATTATCTCTTATTTAACACCGAACAAACTGGTTCAGAAGTGTTGCTTTTGTTGTGTTAGTATGTTAATTTTGTGTATGTTTCTGTGTATGTTCTCAGAGCAGGAGTTTGGGAATGCCAAGCTGTTGACGGTAATGAAAGACCTGATGGTGATGTCCTGCTCGTCTCCTAACCGCCCTCCCAGCCTGGTACACACACATACAAGTTAACTGTAACCCTCAATCTAGCCTGTCACAATTATGACATAATCGGCTGATCACAGTTATTTGAGCTGATCACAATTGTTTAAGCTGGCCACATTTCTTTTCCACAGTTGGTAGCTTTCACAATCATGTTTAAATTGTCACAAACACAAGCAGAATGTCAGTTGGGTGCATTTCTTGGAAAAACTTCTGACTAATGCCCTTATACCTTTAGAGGGCAGCAGTGAGTAATGTGTGATTATTTGAGCTCAAGCTGTCTCTGTCATCAGTCAGGGGCTACTAAGGCCCAATCCCATTTCTTATTTTTACCCCTACCCATTGTTTTCGAGTGTCACCTTTTCCCAGAGTTACAAGGGGTAGTGGTTGAAGTCTCTGCTGTGAAATGGGACCCTCAAATAAGAAAGAACATTACTTCATTAACAGGCTACTAGCGGAGCTCTGTAGGCACCCCTGCCAGTCTGCAGTGATAGCAGAAAAGGGTAAAGTTCAGCAATCTCGCTACAATTATTTATTATTGCCCACCACTAATTCTTCAGTGATATGAAGCTGAAGTCAGCTATTCGCTAGTTTCTTGTTTGAATTCTCCCGTTCCACTTTAAATCGTGCAGCAGCTCTTGACACCTGCGGTGCCAGAATGTGACTGCTGCACCGTTTAAGGTGGAAAAGGAAATTTAGCTGGTTAGCAATAGAGACATCGACATACTACTATTGATTTTTATGCTTGTTCTAAAGAAAAGGACCTTTGAAACATACTTTGAAACGACATTAAACTAAGATAATACAACGGCTAACATAATTTTTTAACAGAGAAAGTACTTTGTTTCTTTAGTCGCTTGTATAGCCATCTTGCCGTTTTTTTCTTTTTTCTCATAACACTCCGTTTGCCATATAGCCCTTTTTACTATATCTGTTGTGCATTGTAGCCTTCCCTGTGCCAGTTGTCCATTAACTAGGTAATCACACAGTTCAAAATTTCCCTTCTTAACATTACTCACCACTTAAATATGCACTTCTGCCTCTGTGTTATGCCTAATGCACATGCTGCACATTGTGATACAGTTTAGATTTAATATTTAAAACTTGTTTAAACCACTGGTTATGTTTCTGTGTGTAGATGGTGAGGTTTGCATCTAATGCAGGGAGTAAAGAGTGGATTCACCTGGGTGAAACTGGTATATGTGAGAGATTTGATTGGCAGTCCATGATAATCACACCCCCACCTGAAGAAGAAAACCACCAGTTCTGTGAGTACCATCTGTGTGTGTAATAGTGTGCTGCCAAATATGAAACATTTAATTCAACCCTCCCATCCCCCACCACTCTTTCTCTCTCTTTATAGCTGGACTTAATTTCGGGGCAGTGCTACTGAAACCTGAAAGCACTTCCAAGCGTGTGAAGTTTCCTCTGGTGGTCTTCATACATGGTGCCTACACACACACACAGACACACACACACTTTGGCATTTTATTTTATGGCTACTAAACACTTTTTTAATGTGGTATTTTTTAATATGATGACTTTTCTGTGTGATATCTCTTAGTGATAATTGTATGTGTTCGTGTTTGTTTGCAGGAGGGCCGCATTCTCATTTTGCTGCTGAATGGAACGTTAATGCTGCAGCTTTGACAAAACTGGGATTCGCTGTGCTAATGGGTGAGTGCACACACCCTTTTTGTATTTTGCATTGAATGTTCTGAACAGTAGACAGACTTCATTTTTTCACACTAGTCTAGAAATGGCACTGTTGAACGTTTACACCAGAGGTGTCCAGTCTGTTTTGTTGGAATGAAAGCCTGCAGCCACACTGGCTCTTTGTGTATAAGATTGAACACCCCTGGTTTGCATTCTCCGCAATAGATTCAAATATGTTGCTAACAAAACATTCTGTCTATCCTTGAATGAATGAATGAATGAATGTGTGTGGGTAGTTAACTATAGAGGTTCCACTGGTTTTGGTCAAGACAGCATCGATTCTCTTCTTGGAAACATTGGCAGTCAAGACGTCAGAGATGTGCAGGTGTGTACATACACTCATCCTAACTCACTCTGTACTCACTCACCCATACTCACATTTGCATTGTTGCTGGCGGCTAAAAGGTAGAGTAGATGAGTGCTATGCAAATAGGTTTCTTTTGTTTATGTAGTTACTTATTTTTAGATCTATATTTTATCTCTTGTGTCTAATACTAAGTATTATTATTCTTTTTTGTTCATTAATGAACATAAAAGAATAAATACAAAGAAACAGTACATTGTGAGTGTGTTAGCTTAACCATTTGCAAAGCTCTTCATGAGGAGGCCCAGTATTTACAGTTACCATCCAGTACCATCTTCAGCTATTCAGTCTTTCATTGAATGTAATTAATGCTGGTGAAGAATATAACAGTTCCAAGCAGTGACTGTATTTATCTGTCATGTCTAGTAATATTTGTTTGTTTGTTTATTTGATTATTTTTAACCTAAGCCATTTTTAGCTGTGCTATACAAGAAAATGTCAACAGGTAGTACATTGCAATTAATTTGCATGTAAAACATTTTCTTGTTGTTACTTCTTTCCCCTTCCATGTTCCTTTTACCCAGAGGGCTGTGCTGCACGTCCTACAGAGCAACCCGATTCTTGATGCTGATAGAGTGGCCGTGATGGGTGGGTCTCATGGCGGATTCCTGGCCTGTCACCTGATTGGTCAGTATCCAGAGTTCTACAGAGCGTGTGCAGCTCGGAACCCCGTCATCAATGCAGCCACACTGCTGGGAACCAGTGACATCATAGACTGGTAAACATTTATAGCTGACTTCTTAAAATAACCCACTGTAAGAATTTACTTTGGAAAATCTTTCACTCTGTCATTAATGAGCTGGGCTTAAATAAATGTGAAAATTAGACCCCAGCAGGTCCAGGGCAGGACTGTTAGAGAGAGGAAATAATGAAAGCTACAGGCGCAATTACCTGTCACTAATTACTTAAACCAGGCGTTGATGACTGTGACCAATTCAGTGTAGGTCATTTAATTTCCTACGTGTCCTTTACACAAACAATTATATATAGATACATTATCATACTACAGAAGATCCACATAATGTAAGTCTACAATCTCTTTGAAACTCCACCTTTCATCTTTAATACTATATTAGTTTATGTATTTATCCTTTATTCATCTTTAGTTATTTAATTAGTCGTATGAAACTTTCTATGATACATCTGTATTTAAGTCTACATGTTAAATTGATACATGCCTACAACTGACAATAAATAAAAGGGGTGTGACATTGTGATATTGTGATGTGAAAATGTGTATTGTGGAAATGTGACAGTGGGGAGAATAGACATTAATTAGTAATTATGCAATCTAATGTAACTATGTTGTTGAATCACAAAAGTTTTCAAAAAACCAGGACCAATCAGCAGCTTATTCTAGTGCAGGGATTCCTTCTGCCTATTGCACTAATCTCATTAGCTGTGCACAACATGGATGATACAACATAAAGCAAAAATTATGATACAGTCATAATTTTTGCTTTATTCAAACGTTGCTCAAGAATATCATGGGAATATTAAAAGATGGAGCCATTTTCTTGAACTGAAATGAATCGTGTGCTGAGCATGTCATTACACCTATAATGAACAAGATATATTATATTATATTATATTATATTGTAGTTTTGATATAAATAGGTTAAGCAGTAGTTAGTATGAGTGATGCTTTGGTTCTGCTGTGTTCTACAGGAGATATTTCTCTATTGGTCTGCACTACTCATTTGACCAGCTACCTACTCCACAAGCTCTGACCACCATGCTAGAGAAATCACCTATAGCACATGCTGCTCAGGTACACATTGTTTTACTGTCAATGAGTCTGATATTACGTACACATTGTGTACATATACCATTTGTTTTTCTGTCTGTTTGTTTGTCTGTATGTATGTGTTTGGTGTAGATTCGCACTCCAGTGTTGCTCATGTTAGGTGGGAAGGATAAGAGGGTCTCTCCTTACCAAGGCCTGGAGCTTTACAAAGCCCTCAAGAGCAGAAACTCACCTGTCAGGTACACACACACACACACACACACACACACACACACACACTTTGAGACAGATTTTTATTCTTTCATTGACTAAGTCTCTTCTCTTCTCTTCTCTTCTCTTCTCTTCTCTTCTCTTCTCTTTCAGGTTGTTGTGGTATGATGGTGATGGCCATTCTCTATCCAAAGTTGAAACTCAGTCTGACTGTTTCCTCAATGTGGCACTGTGGTTCAAACAACATTTAAACATGCACTGAACCCAGCTGAGCACACTTTGTTATAAAATGGAAACGTCAGTTGAACAGAAACCCCTACAGCATGTTCAGTTACATTGAAAGGTCATTCAGAAACCTGATTGTACGGTTACACCAGCCTAAACATGTTTAATATTTTAGATAGTCTTCAAACTTCAGACTTTCCTCTTGTAAGTACAGTAACCACTAGGTGGCAGGCTTAACATGTCATTTCTTGTTAGACAGTTTACAATACATATGTCATTTGCAAAATTCTGCAAAAACATTGCCTTTTCAGTTAGTCTCAGACACTTTGGGATATTTGTCTTGTAATACTATGCTGTGAATTACAAAGACACTGACAGTTTCTCTTTTTAGTTTAAAAGGCATAAAACTATTACATTTTAAAATGATTTTTTATTTAGTCAAGTACAGATCTTTTAGCATCATGTTAGCCATTGTATTTGGTTGTTTTCATTAATAAAACTTGTGCCAAACAGCACTGTTGATGGCGCAATGGTGCAAGATTGATTGACAGGTGGTAGTTTGTACAGAATGGGACACTGCCCAGAGTTCTGAAACTTTGTGTTCTGGTGCTTAGGCTAGTAGAAAAGTTAATATAAAAGAGAATACAAAAGGCAAACATTTAACCAGTGATCACCCAAGGACTAGTCAATATTATAGCACTTGATTAAAATAGTGACCTCTATAGATATTAGGACTGTATGTTTTATTATTATCATTATTAAATAATTCTTGGCTTGGACATTCAGATCTAAGAAAAGCCTGTTATTGGTTTATAAATTTTACCTTATGTAAAGGTTCTTTACTTGCACACATCATTTTTGCGAAAGTGTTTCTTTAAAGAACGAGGAATTGATTTTTTTTTCTTAGAGAACCAAAATGGGACTTCTATGACTTCTATATACATGTACATGGATTGCAGTTTTACTGTTTTCTGGACGATGTGAGATCTATATATATACTAAACCATCTCACAGTTTACCACCCTCGGTGCTGATTAATTGTTTAGCTGATGTTAGGACATGGATGACTGAGAACTTCCTGAGTCTGGATAGTAATAAGTCGGAGGCCATATTAATTGCCTCTCCAGCTACAGCTGGTTATATTGTCTCTTCTTCGACCCAGATTAGAAATTTGGGAGTCTTTTGAACCCCATATCAAGAACACTTGAAAGGCAGCTTTTTTCCATCTGAAGAGCATTGCTAGGATCCGCCCTTTTCTCTCTTTTTCTGCTGCTGAGACTGTTATCCATGCTTTTGTGACATCTAGAATTGACTACTGCAATGCTGTGCTATATGGACTCCCTGCTCGGGTTCTGAATAGGCTGCAGTTAGGACTGGGCGATAAAACGATAACGATAAGTATCGCGATATAACTTTTCCTCGATAGAGCGATAAGACAGGTTCGATAAATGTTCGATATAATACACCACTCTCACACTTCCACGTTTTAGCGAAAGCCCTGGTGGCGCTATCTACTGCAAGGAAAGCGACACTACTCTGCTGTCGCCAGGAGAGGGCGCACTTCCGAATTTTTCGACTTGATTAGAGAGGGAGGGGGCCACGAGTAAAAAAAAAAAGGTCGCCAAATATACTTTAGCAACGGCTGAAACGCGGAGTTATACATTCCCTGTCTGAGTGGATGTTATCGGCGATCTGTTCTCCTGTGACCGAGTGTGAGTGACGAGGTCAGTGGTGTAACTGTACTGTCCTACGGCGAACTCACCTCTTTCCATGCAACTTTAGCGGTGTTAAATCACGTCTGCAGCGCCGTGTTACAGCGCCAAACCGTCATATTTTAGTATTAGTGCATTCTCGAGCAACGAAAGTGAAAGAAAGAAGTGGGTTCATGTTCGAAAGTAAACTGAGGAAGCTGTGAGGCATTGGAGAGCGGGAGGGCGCTGTCTTTCCAGGCTAGCTGTTTTTAGCTGCTGGCTAACTTGACTCAAACAAGACCGAATCACCGCTTTCAGTTTAAACATACCTAAAAGGAGGACTCTGTTTGTCTGGTGTGAGAGATTCACACTGCAGATAATGCTTTTACACAACGACCGTCAGATATACTGCGGTTCACGCCTTAAACTACTGCGATAGCATAGAGAAACCCAGTCGTCTAGCTGGTGTCTGAATACTGTGATCTGCTCTGACATGGATGTGGTAGGAGTGACAGCAGTGACCTACCGAACCGAGTTGACGTCGTTGAGAAACTAAAGAGTTTAGCACTGTTGTTGGCCACTTGTTTAGCATTTGTAACGGGGTAGCCAAGTGCTCGTCACCAGACAGCTAATAATAATTCTTTCTTAAATCATGACTATTACAAAAATTGCAGCTGTGCATTTCAAGCTGATAAAAACAGTTCAGAAACTTTCTCCCACTCTTCCATGACAGATTAGTGAAATGTTCCACTGTTTGCCGACTGTTTGCCGAGTGTTTGTCATGATCGGACCATAAGTGATAGTTTAAAACCACAGTTAACCACCCAGGAGCAAAATCAGCCTTCAAACGTGAAAGAAATCATGATTTGACATTTATCGCGATATGTATCGATATCGAACGATATGAATTTTGTTTATCGTGATAACGTTTTTTGGCCATATCGCCCAGCTCTAGCTGCAGTATGTGCAAAATTCTGCTGCTAGGGTTTTAACCCACACAAGATCCTGGAAGCACATCAGTCCAACTCTGAAACAGCTTCATTGGCTCCCAGTATGGTATCACATTCGATACAAATTGCTTGTGCTGGTTTTTAAATCTTTGAATGGCCTTGCCCCCTCCTACCTTGGTAGTCTGCTTCAGTTATGCTCTCCAGCTCGCACTCTTCGCTCCTCTGATTCACATTTGCTCAAAGTTCCTCCCTCTAAGCTGCGTACTGTACTGTTGGTGACAGGGCATTCAGCGTTGCTGGCCCCAAGCTGTGGAACAGTCTCCCCTGTGAGTTGCGTGCTTGTTCGACCCTGGCTATGTTCAAAGCTAGTCTTAAAACCCACCTTTTCCAGATGGCTTTTTAAATTTATTTTTATTATTATTATTTTTAGTGGTTTTATCATTTTTTATCTTTATTTTATTGTACAGTGTCCTTGGGTGTCTTGAAAGGCGCTTATCAAATAAAATTTTTATTATTATTATGTAGTGTAGTGTGAAATTGAGTGGTGAATTTTTCCTTGCATAATTACCATACTGCTACTACATACTACATCACCGTGTTATCATTGTTTTCCTTTGAAATTTCAGCCATTTCTAGTTTTATCTTGTGTTAAGGGATTTCAGGCTGTAGTCCTTTTGTCAGTGTGAATTTGCAAAGATAGTCTTTTTAGGGCCAACAACACATTGTTAAATATTGTAAATTGTATTGTAAAAACTGTTAATCGGCAAACAAAATGTTTCTGCATTACATTAAACAGTAGAGTCACTGCTAACACCATCTTTGTTTGCACTGTCAATAAAAATGAGTGAGCGAGTTCCATAGGCTGCCACACATGCCTGAGCTTTGACAGTAAATCCAGCGTGTTTCGCAGATGAGGTAATACAGTGTGAAATTCTATGCTTTCTCCACACTTCTCCTAACCTTCTCAGGACATAAGTAGAGGTTTATCTCGGTCTCATCTTGTTCCAGATCCCTGTATTCCCATCTTTGTACTTTTTGACGTATTGTAATCTGGCCGTTCTGACTGTGTTTGCATCCTATATTTTAGCCTTTAGAAATCTGCTGTTGAAGTTTTCCATGAACAACAGATTTAGCTTTAAAGGTGTTGGTGATGTCAGTGGCAGTTGTTTTTTGGTTTCTCTGGATTCTTCTTTCCTCAACCGTTATTTTTCAAGAACAACATTCTTCGGCCGCATCCTCATTTGCAAAACAGTGTTGTTTTCTATTGTAATGTGCCCAGGTGCTGTACTGTGGTTCAGATTGAGTCTTTTTTCATCCACTGTTGCCTGATTTTCAGACAACAAGTTTAAGCTTGAGGCCAAAACACTGTAGACTTAATCGAGTAATTCTGTGTAGGATATACACTGACCGGCCACTTCACTATGTACATCTCCTTGTTTCTACACTCTTTATCCATTTTATCAGCTCCACTTACCATATAGGTGCATTTTGTAGTTCTACAATTACAGACTTCAGTCCATCTGTTTCTCCGCATACTTTGTTAGCCCCCTTTCACGATGTTCTTCAGAGTTAAGGACCCTCACAGGACCACCACAGATCAGGTATTATTTGGGTGGTGGATCATTCTCAGCACTGCAGTAACACTGACGTGGTGTTGATGTGTTAGTGTGTGTTGTGCTGGTATGAGTGGATCAGACACAGCAGTGATGCTGGAGTTTTTAAACACTGTGTCCGCTCTCTGCCCACTCTATTAGACACTCCTACCTTATTGGTTCCCCTTGCAGATGTAAAGTTAGAGACGGTAGTTCATCTGTTGCTGCACAGTTTGTGTTGGTCATCCTCTGGTCCTTCATCAGTGGTCAAAGGACACTGCCCACAGGATGCTGTTGGCTGTATATTTTTGGTTGGTGGACTATTCTCAGTCCAGCAGTGACACTGAGGTGTTTAAAAGCTCCGGCAGCACTGCTGTGTCTGATCCACTCGTACCAGTGCAACACACACTAACACACCACCACCACGTCAGTGTCACTGCAGTGCTGAGAATGATCCACCACCCAAATAATACCAGCTCTGTGGTGGTCCTGTGGGGGTCCTGACCACTGAAAAACAGGGTGAAAGGGGACTAATAAAGTATGCACAGGAACAGATGGACTACAGTAATTGTAGAACCGCAAAGTGCACCTATATGGCACAGTAGATAAAATGGACATTGAGTGTAGAAACAAGGAGGTGTAATTAATGAAGTAGCCAGTCAGTCTATCCAGGCAAATGATCTCTTCAACTGCAACACTGTTAAAGACAACTTAAATATCTTATTTCATGTTCATATTTATCATAGCATTCTATTTAAAAGACCAAGTTTTTGTTTTTGTATTGTCTTGCCTCTTAAACATCTTGAGTTTTGATTGTCATCATGTACCAGCGGTCATGAAAAACAATATTAACCAATAAAATCATGTTTCATTTTTCCCTCCCACCACCACCCGTCACTGACTGAGAACACTCAGCTGACTCAGAGTTGCTATGAAAAGAAAATGTGTTATGATTTCCAGTTCATGACTTTAATGAACCTAAATTTGTATCAATTTGTATACGACTGAAAAGCGAGAAACCAAACACAGTATTGTTGTTATTCCAAATGCACAAACATCCACAACTAAAAGGTGAGATTCTGCTCTTTACCCAGTGTTTACTGCTTTACTTTGTTGCCTGAAAATAATAAATGGATAATTATTTTTACTTCACATTCCTAATGCATATTTTATTGAGTCCACTTTACTTATTGCCTATTTTAGTAGACACAGTTTTGTAGTGTTCTTGTTTGTTTCCATGGCATCTGTCAAACACGGGTGTGTCTTTTTCTTTTTTCAGCAGCTCCTGAGTGACTTTTACCTCGTTATTGTTGGTTTTGTGAGTCCATTATATTTGAAATGAGTCATTATATTTGATAATAAAATAGTTTGATTCCAGCTTTGCTTGTACATTTCAAATAAATGAGAACTACTTTCTTTATCAGTGCCTATTTATTATAATTTACTGTAAAATACTGCAAAATAGGTCAAATTGACTTAAATTATGCACTGTCGAG